CTCTGCATCACCTCAAGTTCAGCCTCATAAAACTGAAGTAGTAACCGCAGCAGCAGCATCAGTAGGTGCAGCAAAGGAGCCATATATAATGAATCAATAATCTATTGCTTAGAAATACAATAAGATTAGATTCCTCAGAACTCTGTATCATAGAGCTCTGTATTTTGTGCCAAAAGGTAGTGATCAGGTGAATGCATGTACTGTGCAGATGTGAGTACATTTTCAAATCTCACAAGACTATGTAACTGCTCAGATTTAGATTTTTTTTAAAAAGAAAGTAACGTGGTGATGTAGGGGACCTTCTCAACAGATTTCATGGTGTGATGGGACAAAGTACAGTGTTTTCTGGAGGTAAGAATCACAGCAAGAATCATATTATTTGGGTGTGATGGGATCAGTATGCATCCCATCTGCATTCAGTGAGAAAAAAACTACTGGATGCACACTGATAAAAATTGATTTTTTCCTAATGTGATTAGGTACGTACTTCATCAGCTACAAACATGGGTACACAGGATGGATGTGTGTTTACAGTAACCACTTATCTTCTCTTAATAGAAAACATTGAATTTTTGCCCACAAGCAAGCAGAATAAGCCGAACATTACTTGTTAATAAGAGAAGCAAAGCCAAGTGATAGTAACAGTCATATTTAGTGGCAATCTGGCAAAGAAAAGTGACTGCTGGGAGAAGGAGGTAACATAAAGTAATTTCCCAACAACAAGAACAGTTTGTGAATTTGATGTTCAAGGAAACCAGCTTGAAAATGCTGCATCTTTAGTTGTACTGACTTGCTGGGTCAGAACAACATTGCCTTGACCCAGCAGTAATTTAAGAAAATGTCTCTGCCAGTGACAATTTCCCATTTATTCCAATAGAGAATAGTTACGGACAGAACTTGCTCTTGTCTAAAACAGGGGTTGATTTCTACATGTGTAAGAAATCATGTGAACATACATGCACAGGTTATTTTCTGTTTTGCAGTTGAATGGTGCTCAGTATATATGACTCAAACAATGTGCTAGACACACATTGGCCGTTTCTATCATTATCTTCCGCTTTGCTGTTCTGTAACTTTTGTTATGTCCTATTCAAACTTAATAAAAATTAAAACACAAGATTCAGAATAAAGGTTTTTATATAGTAATAGAAAGGTTTTCAGATAGCTTTGAAGAAGGGCTAATGCTTAACAAGTGTATGAGCAGCATCCTGTATGGGTTTAACAGTACTTCCAAATCCTACAAATTCAACTTCATAAGGGTTGAATTAACTATCACTGGTTTAAGTTCTAATTGTATGTTATCTAAAAGAAAACATATTTGAGACACTACATTTAACCTCATTCTGGCTGAAAATGCTGACAAGGGCAGGTAGTGCCATGTAGCCATGAATGCCACCTTCACAAAGATCACACATGGGATGCTGGTTCTTCTACAATGATGTAAGGCTATTGGGACAGAGTAATGTTGTGTATACAGCAAAGGAAAGGCCTAAGTATGACAATCCTGTGTCTGTCCATGAAGTCATAATGTAAAAGAGCAGAATGCTGAAATGGTTTGGATCACTCTTAAAGCAGAGCTGCTGAAATCACTAGACTTAAGTTTCAATCAAATTCATTATTTTTAAGAAAGGGAAGCTGTTTTGGAAGAAAGTGATTGCGGATCAGCCTACACAAAGTTGCTCACAAAGAAAAGAATGGGATGAAGGTTGTTGCATGTTTTGACACTTTTTATACTCTTGAAATAAGACAGTTGTTTAGCACTGGATGAGTTACACAAACAAAACCATAGAAAGTGAAAGAGGAGGGTGTGAACTTGGGTTAAATCTAGCTTTTTCAAAACTGCATCAGGCCGACCTCCATATCATTTATTGTGAGAAAAAGAAAAGGTAACACAAGCTTTATTTTAAAAAGAAAGGCTTTTCAACTTTTCTTCAAAGGTTGTAAGACAATAGTCAAAATATGACATGTTTACTGATAGACTAGTGACACACAATATATACTATGTTGTACCTGCAAAAACATATCTGACTGTTTTCCTTCATCAATGTTGTTGTTTATTCGTTCAGTTGTTTCTGACTCTTCGTGACCTCCTGGACCAGCCAACGCCAGAGATCCCTGTCAACCGTGGTCACCCCAAGCTCCTTCAAAGTCAAGCCATCCATCCATCTTGTCCTTGGTCAGCCCCACTTTCTTTTTCCTTCCATTTTCCCCAGCATCACTGTCTTCTCTAAGCTTTCCTGTCTTCTCATGATGTGGCCAAAGTACTTCATATTTGCCTCTAATATCCTTCCCTCCAGTGAGCAATCGGGCTTTATTTCCTGAAGTATGGATTTCAATACTGTGACAAAAATATTCAGTACATAGACATATAATTATTTTTAAAAAGCTCTCACATTTACCAGGAATGACTACAAATGCAACCCAATCTTTGATTAGAGGGAAACTGAAAGGACTTGTGTAACCTTAACTGCAATTCTCTGCTACAAGTAGAATATGTGATGACAGATCAGTGAGTTTAAAATCCAATAATTAATCTACACACATAATGCAAATATTATTCCTATAAAAATCTCTTCTCAATCTGAGGTCACATCTTCAAAGGAGTGAATCCTTGCCAAAGAGTACTTTCAACAGATGTCAAAGATTATTAAGAGAGATTTGTTTCCAGCACTTTGATTCTTAACATAAAACTTTGAGCTTATCAACCGAAAGTGACTTGTTAATATCCTTTGTTCTGAATGAGTATTTTTCAGGTAAGATATTAAGACATGAGAACTGTGTTAATACCTGTTGGCTCAGTACGATCAACATTCAATTCTGGAATAAAATCCACCATAACTAACCATAAGATCAACTCTTTATTTACTAAATCTATAACTATTATTTCAAAGAGATGTTTAAGATAGCAAGAAAACATTAGCAAGAAGAGCTTGTGATCAATGTATTTTTGATCTAAGGAGGAAGCAAATGGCAAATATATGTGGCTGATCCTACATGGTAGGAAATAAATTTGGTAGGGCACCTGTCAAATGTTCAGAAAAATCCTCTGCTTTTGCTATTATGGAGATTTACTGAACTCCAGTTCCAGTTCCTCGAGTAAATGCAGGAAGATGTCTTCTCTAGACTTTGATCCAACTTAAAGTATAATGCCTACTTGAAATGCACAATATTGTCTATACTGGCAGAAAAAGAATACTCCTACCTAATGTCTGAAGTTAAAATTGCAAAGTTATTAAATTATGGCCAGAGTTTTGGAAATTGACTTCTTTGGACTACAGCTCCACAAATCTCCCAGCCAGCACAGCTACAAGCTATGTGTCAAAAGTCTAAAAATAATGTCTCCCAAGCTCAGGTTATGTGTCATTTTCCATTCACTTTGGATGGCTACATGTTTCTCATTTTGTTTGGACAGCTACGATCACAATTCTTGTCTGCAAACACAACATGAGAGCATAACAAGAGCATCATGCTCAGACATTAATCTATGGCCAAAATCCTTGCATTTTTATGATTGCCACAAGGCCACTGTAGGAAAAATACACTACAATACTTTCAAAACTGTGCATGAAGCTGATTTGTTGAAGGGTTTTCTCACATGGTTCAGACTGTTTAACTACAACACCCTAGTCTTCCTTTGTATGGGCATCATAGCTGTTACAGCTTCATTGATTGATGCCACACTACACAGGTTGCTACTTGTATTCCCAGCGGCAACCACTTTTGTCTTGGGAACCGGTGCAATTATAATCTGAACACAGTCTTGCCAGGTGCTGCTGCATCATCATCATTCATGAAGTATAAGAAGTTGAGCCTGGGAAAATGTTTTGTTTTTCTCTTAAATGGGTGGGTTACTTCCTTCAATAAACAAGCCCTGATCTCAGACTGTGTTTCTCTCCTGATATTCCTGCTGTGTGGGGCAGGATAGCTGCAGAAATAGATGCAAAGAAGTCCATATTATCCATGTGATAGTACCATGGCAAACATATCTGGGCCGCTTTGGGTTTGTTTTTTTTTTGGGAGGGGGTTGTCGATGTATGCAACCACATCATATGATTTCTTGACATAATGAGAAGAGAAGAAAGCTCGGAGAAGGTAATGCTGCTGGGGAAAATGGAAGAAAAAAGGAAGAGGGACAGATCAAAGTATCCTTGAAGTGACTGGCTTGACATTTAAGATGGATGGATGGCATCCTTGAAGTGACTGGCTTGTCATTGAAGGAGCTGGGGGTGGCCACAGCCGAAAGGGAGCTCTGGCATGGGCTGGTCCATGAGGTCATGAAGAACTGGAAACAACTGAATGAATAAACAACAGAGAGCATCTTCTTAATGCTTATGATGTAGGAGAACAATATAGAAGCATAAATACTGATGACACACAACTCTCCTTTCCATACAATCCCAAGGAAGCTGTTTCTGTTAGGCCCTTACTACACTACCATATAAAATCAGTATTATCTGCTTTGAACTGGATTATGTGGCAGTGTAGACTCATATAATACAGTTCAAAGCAGATAATGTGGATTATCTGATTAGATAATCTGAATATGGCAGTGTAGAAGGGGCCTTTGTCAGGAAAGCTTGGAGAAGACAATGATGCTGGGGAAAATGGAAGGAAAAAGGAAGAGGGCCGACCAAGAGCAAGATGGATGGACGTTGTTCTTGAAGTGACTGGCTTGATCTTGAAGGAGCTGGGGGTGGCCACGGCCGACATGAAGCTCTGGTGTGGGCTGCTCCATGAGGTCACAAAGAGTCGGAAGCGACTGAACGAATAAACAACAAGTAGATGTATGGATCAGTACCATTGGAAGAGATTGTGTGCACAGCTATTTGAAAACATCACAGATACTGTAGGTGAATTGGTATCTTCTAGAAAAGATTGGGTAAGGCAAAAAAAAAAAGTACTAAAGTAATAGCACCATCTTGCATTCATTGCTAAATGTTTCAGTAATGAAATGACCCAAAATTTCAGAGACACAGTAATCATATCAGTTATGAACACAATTTTCAGAACTAATTCTTTATGAAACAAAACATGTGTTTAGTGGCACTGACAGATTAGACCTCAAAACCTTCTATAGGCCAGCCCTCCATTCAGCAGAACAAACAGTACTCCAAATGTAGCTTACATTTTGAATGGAATGAAATAATACATGCTTAATGGAAGGAGGAGATGTGGTAACTTAAAAACAACTTTCTGATAAACTACTGGACCAATTTGTCAGAGAAAAATCAGTTTCTTCATGTGTCCAATCACTGGCAGACAAATAATACATTTCAAGATTATTAATCTTCACTTGCTGTCCCCTGCAATTTTTTTGGATTACTGGCATTTCCAGGTCCTATTACTTTATTTGCATTTAATTATTCCATTAGTGTTCATTGTGATGGCCAACGGTAAAAAAAAACAACACATATAAATAAAATACAAAGCCATTAACTTACATGGTTGGCGTCTTGATTTAGGATTACAATATTTTAGAGCAAAAAGACTGTATAAATATAATTTATTAATAATTATATGGATAAAGCACAAAGTAGTAAATGGAAAAACAAAACACACATATACTGCATTAAAATGCATTTTAAAACAAAAACCACTCACATTAATTAAACGGTGTGCAAATTAATGAGAGCCACAGCCCTGTGTCATATGTTGCATTTGCAAATGGTGAAATCTGTGATCATTTATGAAACATTTGAGTAGGCATTTAAATCAAAGACTTCCTTGAAATTATTGGGACCAACTGAGAATACATTTCCAACTGAGAAAAAACAAGAGCCAATTTGTCTATTCTTTATCTTCAGTTTCTTATTTTCCACTGATAGGATTTCTTTTTAGAAAAAGTTACTTGTGGGGGGAAACACAAATGTATCATTTTCAGTTTCAAAAATCAGAAAGATTATTTTAAAAAAACAACCACAAACTCTGTTGACTGTTCTCATTAGATTCTTGTAAGATGCTACATAATCTGTAGTCGCAGAAGTCGAAGGAAATCTACCACATGCAGGGCTACCTGGCAGATCCTCGTATCTGTGTCAGATTAAAAAAATCATAGTGCTTATTGCTTGTCACCATGGATACCATGAAGATACTGCTGTCCACTAACTACTACTGGAGAAAGACGACGTAATTCTCCGGGACGAGTCCTGTTTTGCCTTCATACGTTGCTTTTAGCCATCCTGGCTCCACAGATGGATACACTGTAAAGAAATGGAGTGGTTATTACTTTTGCACAATATTCACATTTTGTTTTAGATGCATGCTTTAAAAAAACAACAATAGGAAAAATAACAAAAAAGGCCCTAAAAGTGGGTGAGTGCCTGCCTGCACTATGCATTTGTACATTTGCATCCATCTGACACCTTACTTATATTTCACCCTTCTACAAGATTGGGGCTCAAGGTGCAAAATATACAGTAAAAGCATACAACACAACCTCCATATTCATAGGGACTATGTTCCTGAATTAATTTTGGAAACAGGAAAATGTGAATAAAAGTGAACCCTAGTGAAATGAATGACTGCTGTAAGGAGTAGCCAAAGTGTAACCCTGGAGGACTTAGAAAATGCTTACTGAAGATTGCTCTCAACAAATTCTCTAGGTCTGGCATGGGCAAACTTTGGCCCTCCAAGTGTTTTGGACTTCAACTCCCACAATTCCTAACAGCCTACAAGCTGTTAGGAACTGTGGGAGTTGACGATAAAAAACACTTGGAGGGCCAAAGTTTGGCCATGCCTGCTATAAGTCCTCCAGGAGAGCTCTAGGTAACATCTGGGGAAGCATCACCTAGTAGAGGGTTTCTTAAACTTTTTCACTCAAGAACCCTTTTCTCTGAGAAACTTTTATGTGATCCCAGGCATACAGATATATAAAATAGGTATAAAACCAAACATTTACTGATAACAAATCAGCATTTGCAAGGCTTGCTAAACAATCTGACTTTCCTTTTTATGAAAAATATTCTGCAGAGTCTTCTGTAACATTGCAGAACAGATTAATGTAAATGTCTAAGACACCCATTATGTGACATTCAGAAAATTTTTACTGCTGCAAAACTTTTTGGGACCTAGCATTGAGTTAATGGCGCTCCATGCAGTCATGGCATAGAAGGTGCCTATGGACAACACTGGCTCTTTGGCTTAGAAATGGAGATGAGCACCAACCCCCAAAGTTGGACACGACTAGACTTAATGTCAGGGGAAAACTTTTGCCTTTAGCTACCTTGAGTTAAGGTGACTCCATTTGGGGTCGGGACCCACAGTTTAAGAAGTAAAATAATTTAACATCTTACTTTAAAACAAAAATTAATAACAACACAGCTCCTTTCTTGTTAAAACAAATTTCTCAAAGACTTGCTGGAAAGTAAAGATTTGGCTGCCAGAAGGAACCATCTCAGCTTCCCCTATGGAGGGAATTCTAAGGTTTTGGAGCAGAAAAAAAAGTTTATTCCCCTGTTCCTAGAATTACTGTGAGACAGATAAGTTTGGACAGGTTCACAGGAGAATACTTGAAATATATGTGTGGACTAATACAACAAGAATCACCATCAGAGGGACAACTGTGTTAAGGATGTTGCAAACAAACACAAGGAGATACAGGATGTAATCAGACCGTAAGACGTCACAAGACTCCTGTTTTTGGATACAAAAATGAAACACTACATCTTACCATTGGAAAATATTGCTCCCTGTGGGAAGGAGAGTTCATGACTATGTTCAGCTTTACAGGAATACATGGCCTTGGCTTGCCTGAAAAAAAACAAAAACCCAGAACTTGCATTAATATAGACCAAAAGAAAAGGATGATCTATGACAGGAAGGACATTCCAGTAAATCTAATAGTACTAAAAATGGTTTTGGTGACTTATTTCTGAGAGTTAAGAATGTAACACAAACACTGCCCCTGTTTTAACCTCCCAGTTCTTGCCTTTCACACACTGGTTTCCCTTACCCTTAGATCTTATCAACCTTAAGTAGGGATGCCTCAATATTGTAGAATTAATCCAATTTTACACCACTTAAACCGCCCTTGCTCAATGCTATGGCATCCTGGGGATTGTAAACACCAGCACTATTTAGTAGAGAAAGCTGAAGGCTTTGTAAAATGACAACTCTACTGTGTAGGTGCACTTTGGGTGCATCTACACAGATGGACTTTGTGTAGATGCTGATAGCCCTGATGTTTACCTTCATGCTCCCGATGCTCCTCTGGAATGTGTCCAGAGGAGGGCGACTAAAATGATCAAGGGTCTGGAGAACAAGCCCTATGAAGAGCGGCTTAAAGAGCTGGTCATGTTTAGCCTGAAGAGGAGAAGGCTGAGAGGAGATATGATAGCCATGTATAAATATGTGAGAGGAAGTCATAGGGAGGAGGAAGCAAGCTTATTTTCTGCTTCCCTGGAGACTAGGACATGGAACAATGGCTTCAAACTACAAGAAAGGAAGAACTTCCTGATTGTAAGAGCCGTTCAGCAGTGGAACTCTCTGCCCCGGAGTGTGGTGGAGGTTCTTTCTTTGGAAGCTTTTAAACAGAGGCTGGATGGTCATCTGTCAGGGGTGCTTTGAATGCAATATTCCTGCTTCTAGGCTGAGGTTGAACTGGATGACCCATGAGGTCTCTTTTAACTCTATGGTTCTATGATTCATGCATTTGCTCCTAATCAGAATTGAATTCAATTTCCAAATTATTACATTAAGAGTGTTTTCCTAGTGTTATGACACATGTGCTGTAGGTTCATATATGGGGGTGGGGGTTATTCCTGAGGTCTTAATCATAATGAATAAATGGAAAGTTGTACTTCTTAGCAAACTGAATGTACATATTTGCAAATATATATGTAGCTTGCAACACTGTTCCCCTCCTGAAAATTGTTAAATTTCTCAAGAAAGTTAACATAAAATTAAAAGATAAACTAAAAAACACACTGAAAAACATATCAATACTGTACAGCATTTTTCCCTTTGGTATGTTGACATCTTGTTGCTGTTACAATAATTCATTAATGGCTGTTGATCCTCTGGTATTTTGTTTTTGTTTACTGCCTTAAATATCTTCACAACTGTAGTTCTCTATCACAGTAACTGCAATGCAGTTAAAATGCATCACATTATATACCCAGTCAGCCATAATATTCACTAAGGTGCCTTGGGAAATCTACAATCTCTCTGAGCTCCATTTGAACTCAGCCAGCTATTGCAAGGATAAATCAACATAGTCCTATGAATGATGCTCTTTTGTTCCTGAGAAATGAATAGTTATTCTTCTATATATACTTCTCATTTAAAAAAATCTTAGTGGTGTAGCAGAAGAAACGAACAGTCCTCCATCCGGACTCCAGTAAAGTCAATATCTGTGAGCAACGTTCAAATATATTATCAAATTATTCATCGCTCATTCCTTTTTTTTAAAGCAAATTGCAAAGTCTGCATTGGCATGCACCACTAAACTCTGAGTTTAAAAGTCAACTTATAAACATTTGAACCAAGAACTGCTCAACAAACTGTCTGCAAGCAATTGCAAGACTGTGCTCTGAAACCATACACCGATGCTGGTTTGCAAACCCTGTCTTCATTAAAGCTGTAATAATAATAATAATAATAATAATAATAATAATAATAATAATTATTATTATTATTATTTATACCCCCCCCCCCCCAGCATCTCCCCAACAGGGACTTGGAGTGGCTTACATGAGGCCAAGCCCAAACAACATATTACAATATAAAAATACAAATCTGCCCTCAAATGTGAACCCACAAACCATAGTTTGGGATAACTCTTTGAGGCAACCAAAATACAGCAGCTGGACAGTTTGTGGACTCCTGGTTATTTCATCAAAGGAGAGTACAAAACATAATATAGAACATAAAATAGATGGGAATACAGCTTAGTATCCCTTATCCAAAGTGCTTGGAACCAGAAGTGTTTTGGATTTCAGATTCGAGCATTTTTGTATTCTATAATATGTAACATACATAAATAATTGAATTTGGAATATGCATATACATACATAATGAGAGATCTTTGAGATTGTACCCAAGTCTAAACAGAAAGTTTAATTACTGTATGTTTTATGTTAGACACACAACTTGAAGGTAATTTTATATCACATTTTCAATACTTTGTGCATGAAACAAAGTTTGTGTGCATTGATCCATCAGAAAGCAAAGATGTCACTGTCTCAACCATGCATATGGACAATTTTGGAGATTTTCAGATTTCAGGATGTGGATAAGGGATGCTCAGTCTGCATAGTAGTAATAAACCAGAACGCCAGAACCTCAAAGAGTGGCAATTTTACAAGGTACTTTTACATTCTGTGTTTTATCTCTTAATTGCTTCTGCTCCTCTTTCCTGCTTTTTAAACCATGTCCTAAAACTGTGAACCAAGCCACTTTTTCCTCTGATGTTAATCATTGACCCTTAGAATTAAGATCATAAAGAACTCTACCCTTCTACTGCAAGATCCTATTGTGTGTGCTTGTGAAGAAGATATCTTTTCTGGTTATATCACTCCTGTTCATTCAATGCAGTGACTAAAAGAGGGTGTCAAAATAACATTACCAGAAACATGTTCCTTAAGCAAAACCTAATTTTCTTTGAAGTGAGAAACTCACTCAGGTCTTCTAGCACACGAACATGGTTATATAAATTGCATCTATGTTTCTAAGAAGCAAAATCTGTTTCTGAACCTGGAAAATAAAATCCACTGGCCTTCACATTTGAATGTAGAAATCTAATATCTTTGTCTGCAACTTTACAACAGGATTAGAATCCAACCGGTTGAAATACTAGGACAATAATCTCTATAACACAAGCCAACAAAATAAAACTGTTTGTAATAATCAAAAATGAGAGTAGCACAGTTTAAATCATTTTTATGCTGATTTTAAACATGTATCTTTTCCCCACCACGTCAACTTTTAAAAATATGATGAATGGTACATTACAGCGGACTAGTGTAAAGTCTGCACATTTCACATGTAACACAAGCCAACAAGTATTTTTCATCAGAAATAGTTTTAGATCATTCTTATAGAGTTTTTTTGCACTGAATTCAGATCTGTGTTTATGTTTTCTTTATCACGTGTAGTTTTTGCGATGAGGCAAATCAAATAATGTATGCATTTATGCACGGATATCAATAGAATCTAATTAACCACAAGCCAACAAGTGGAGCCCCTGGTGGCACAGTGGGTTAAACCCCTGTGCTGGCAGGACTGAAGACTGACAGGTCGCAGGTTCGAATCCGGGGAGAGGCGGATGAGCTCCCTCTATCAGCTCCAGCTCTTCATGCGGGGACATGAGAGAAGCGTCCCACAAGGATGATAAAAACATCAAATCATCCAGGCATCCCCTGGGCAACGTCCTTGCAGACAGCCACTTCTCTCACACTAGAAGCGACTTGCTCCTGACATGACAAAAAAAAAGCCAACAAGTATTTTTCATCGGACATGATTTGAGCTCATTCTTATAGAGTTTTTTTGTGCTGAATTCAGATCTGTGTTTAATTTCTCTCTATCACGTGTAGTTTTTGCAATGTGGCTAATTGAATAATTAATGCATTTACATATCGATATCAATTAGATTCTATTGATATCAGTGTGTAAACGCATTAATTATTTGAATATCCTCATCACAAAAACTACACGTGATAAAGAAAAAACAAACACAGATCCAAATTCAGCGCAAAAAAACTCTATGAGAATGACCTAAAATTTTATCTGATGAAAAATCCTTGTTGGCTTGTGTAAGCCATCATTTCAACTATTGTTTTTAACTGGATTCCCATCATAATGAAGATTTTATTAGTTTTTATTCTGTTTAGTTCCCAAGCCCAGAGCATGGAAAAGGTATTGACTGGAGAATTCTGAAACTTCTAGGCCCAAAACTATTTTTTTCAGTCTCTGTTCATGATCAAGCTAGGCAGGCAGGCAATCATAAACATCAGCTTCACTACACACTGATGTTTCCCTCATTCTAACATTTTACTTGAATTTCAGCAGAGCTCTTTTAACTGGGAATCAATCTAAGGTTAAAAGGTGGAATCTATCCCATGAAGGGAAGTGATTTTTGAATGATGTCATGGCTACTCTGTAGCCTTCATGATTCTTGAAGAATTCAGCTCAGGATTTCCAGCTCAAAGTTCAAGATGCTGCCTTTTGACTGCAAATGTATCACATCAGAGATAAACAACATAACAAAAATCTCTTCCTACAAAATAGGGAGAGCAAGAAAGGGGATGAAACTGTAGGAAATACCTGGGGATATTATTAGCTCTCCACTGTTTATCCTCTCTCTCGTAAATGCGTTTTAAATGAGGGGGAGCTGCTCAGTATAGTACAAATCAACAAAAATGTAACGGATGCCACAGCTATTTAAAACAATAATCCTAAGTATTGTCTAAGGCTTTCATGGCTGGAATCACTAGGTTCTTGTGGGTTTTTTCAGGCTATAGAGCCATGTTCTAGAGGCATTTCTCCTGACGTTTCGCCTGCATCTATGGCAAGCATCCTCAGAGGTTGAGAAGGTCTGTTGGCAGTAGGAAAAATGGGCTTATATATCTGTGGAATGGCTGGGGTGGGGCAAGGAGCTCTTCCCTGCTGCAGTTAGGTGTGAATGTTTAGCTGATCACCTTCATTAGCATTTGAAGGCCTGCCAGACTCAGGCTTCTCCTACCACTTGTGATTCCCTCTACAATCAAAATAACTGTTCTATATCTGTCTCTGCTCCAAAACAGGAAATGAAGGAAGGTTGGCAGAAAGAACTTCCTAGAGAGCTTACCTGAATGTGGAGGAGTCTGGCCTCAACTTTGCTTTTTGAATTCTCCCTATTTATTGCAACTTTCCCCACTTTTAATATCATAGTCACAAATTCATGGCCACAGCTAGACAGAAATTAAAATATGACTTTCAAAAGCAGCTACCATCCCTCATGACTGCGCAGCAGAAAAATAGTATTTGATATTCAAAATATAGAACGGAGAGGGTGTAATATTGAAAGAAAGCCAGTATGGTATATTGGTTTGAGCATTGGACTACAGGTCTAGAAAACAGTTAAAATCCACACAGAGCCACAGAAACCTGCTGGGTGACCATTAGCAAGTCACAACCTTGCAGCCTCAGAAGAAGGCAAAGATAAATCCTTTCTCAAGATGCATGCCAAGAAAACCTAATGACAACTTTGCTATAGGGTTTGTCATAAGGTGAAAACAAGTCAAACAGCACATGTATAGTATTGTGAAGCACAACTTACCTTCCTGATGAAGTCTGCTTAAGTGAGCAACCACTTTCAAACAGCTGGGCTCTTGCTGCTACCCTGGAACATATGAATGTACTGCAAGTTTAGAGACATTATTTTGAATGCAAGAATATTAAGAAGACAGTAACAAACAACTGGGTAAACTTACACAGAACCTGGTCTCTGGTAGCCATTACTCGATGTGGTATCTAACCGCAGTCTTCTGCACATTTTGGGAGGCAGGTCTGGGTTTTCTGGGGTCTTTGATATTTCTTTAGCATCTAAGGATGCTAAACTCTGTACTGAACCACTGCAGCTTTTGTTGCCTAAATAACAATGAAAACAAAGGTTGAATAATATAAATTAACACTTTTGAAGACTAAAGTTATGGATTTTGATATGGCCCACAAGCAATTCTACAGAAAAGGGTACCACTGTCACATCAAGGGGTCAGCTACTCCTGGTTGTCACTACTGCCATTTCCCCATCCAGACATTCATAAAGCTCAGAAGTGGCAGCATTGCAGAGAGAGTAGAGGAGGTGCTTCATTTAGGTTCTCCAGGAACAGACGAAACTCTTGCCCTTTGCCACTTGACTCAGAGACATTTTCTTTTTTTGATAGATACAGTTCTTAACTGATCTGTGAGTAAGTAATTCCAGGTTTTTTGAGTCGATTTTTCAAATAATTTTTTTAAGAGTTATACATGAGTATATGCAACAATATGTTTTGTCCAACTGGAAATAACCAGCTAGGATATGTGTTGGGGAGGGTGCAACAGAGAAATAAGCCTGTTATTGTTTCTGCCTGGAAAACACCTGTCCCTCTGACAATATTGCATTACAGCAGAGGCATTAGACCCAGGATCTGTATCTGTTGCTTACCTCAATCTGGACTATTTAAGCAAAACATGCATCATTGCAGTTTCTCTTTCAACCAACCCTTTGAAGTTAATGGCAACAGCTATTACTAAGTACGATAATACAAAGCAAGTGCTGAATCAGGAAGCTTATTGAGTGATACTGATCAGAAAATATGGAAACAGTGATGCACACTAACAAAACTGTTACTGTAAAAACCAGTAAGGGAAAAGGTTTTTCTCTAGACAATATATGAGAAAAGGTTTCTGAGACATGCTATATAACACCCAGACATGACTCATTGACCGACACCTAACCCTTCAGTGACATGGAACTGCTGTTATTTCAATATTTTATTCAACTTCTGATGGTTTGCCATCCCTCCATACATATTTATAACTATCACAAATAATGTAATCAGCGATTTTTCCATAATCCCCACAAGTGGTTTTCAAAATATGCTCAAATTGGAGTATTTTCTGCTCCTTTAGCTTCTTCCTCCTCTTCTTCCTCTGCCTCCTTAGCAAAATGAACTAAGCACAAGGCACGTGCAAACTGTCTGAAGAGCAGCAAATCTCCTTTCCACCTTTTCCTTCCTTATGATTGGAAGGAAGAGAGGAGATTTGGGATGGGGGGATATTAGATGTCACTTCCTTTTGAAAGTTAAGACATCCATCCTCAAAGAAGTGATTTTGAGAGTCTATGTAGCAGCCAATTGCAAACTTGAATGGGAGATGGGGCGGGGGGGGGGAGTTCATCTTAAAAGCAGTGGTTCTCAACCTGGGGTCCCCAGATGTTTTTGGCCTACAACTCCCAGAAATCCCAGCCAGTTTACCAGCTGTTAGGATTTCTGGGAGTTGAAGGCCAAAAACACCTGGGGACCCCAGGTTGAGAACCACTGTTAAAAGAACTGTAGATTCATGTCAATTTATGGTGATCCACAAATTTCATAGGGTTTTCTTAAGCAAGAAATATTCCGAAGTAGCTTCACCTGTTCCTTCCTCTGAAACATAGCCTATTGCTATCAGATGGGAACTGGTGCCTTTAGGGTATTTAGGTCTTAGACTTATACTTTTCTTTTTCTTTTTCACCTCTGAACAATGATGAGCACATGGAGGCTGGATGGTCACTATCAGGGGGTGCTTTGTTTCTATGTTCCTATATGGTAGGCAGTTGGACTGGATGATCCATGTGATCTCTTCCAACTTGATGATTCTTTGGAAATTTCAAAGGTCTTGAGGTAGGTCTGTCCAAGGCTAATTTTGTAGATCTCCGATATGACCAGACTGAATAGATGAAACCTAATTCTAAGCATTCTACCTAGTTTTTGTTAGAGCAATTAGGTAGCACGAATTTCAAGCTTTCATTAAAAAAAATAAGGACAATACAAATAAGGGCATAATACATTTTAGGGCAGAATTTTACTCCATCTACAAAAGCAGAAGGAGGAGAAATTAAAAGATTGTATGTTAGAGTCCAACAGGAGTCCAATCACACACCGAGATTATGTTGAAAATCATATGTTTGTATGGGACGGGAAAAAGCCAAGAATCAAGAGGAAAGTTCTTACTGATGATAAACGAAGTGGACTTGGTTGATCAGACCTGAAACTGTATTTTGAAGCATCTGCGATTTTGTGGATGAGAGAATGGATGATGCTAGACGATGAGATAATTTTGACTATAGAAGCTTATTATTTACCATTTGGATGGCATGCAAATTCAAAATAGACAAGAGCTTTACAAATGATATTATGAGAAAAGCATTTTTGAGAATTTGGTTAAAAGCACAAATTGAAATTTGAACATAAGACTCCACTTTGGATTTCGCCACATGAAACTTTCTGGGTGATAAGAAAAGAAGATCAAGAAGAGTGGATAAGATACAAGATGAAACTCAAGTTCAATAATCAACCTATGCTAAAATCAAGAGAAGAATTGATGAAAGAAGTGTTAAATATTGAATGGTTCACTTATGAGCAAATTATAAACAGAAATTTAAACAAGATCTTTAACATGGCTTTGAAAAAGAAATGACTGAGTTTGTAAAAATATTATGGCCAGGAAAAAAAATATTGGGAGGATTTATCAATTTGATTAAAACATGAAAGAAAGTAAGAACAAGTAAAAGTCTGTATGGTATGGTAATTTATGGTAAAATCTGTACTGTACTGTTTTGGTGACCATTGTTATTACCATATTTACTGGAGCCTCCGGAGGTGCAATAGGTTAAATCCTTGTGCCGGCAGGACTGCTGACCGCAGACATGTCAGCAGTTCGAATCTGGGGAGAGCAGGTTGAGCTCCCTCTGTCACCTCCAGCTCCCCATGAGAGAAGCCTCCCAAGGATGGTAAAAACATCAAAAACATCCAGTAAATATGGTAATAACAATGGTCACCAAAAAGTGCAGGCAGTGAAAATTCACTTTTAATGGATATACAATCATGACAGAAAAGAAAAAAAAAACCGTGGCTTTAGTTTCTTTCTTGCATTTGCTCAATAGTCTGGTATTTTTAGTAGTAATTTTGTGGCATCTGCATATTTTGATGTTCTTTCCTCTATTTTTTATGTTTCCTTCCTCCAAATCTAATCCATGTTTTCTGCTTCCCTCTTTTGCATTCCAACTCAAATGCCACAGATTAAGGTACCATGAGGTGTTTTTTTGGCTGCTTTAATGAAAGATAGACATTACATAATAGACAATGTTTCACATACCCGCAGAAGAAATTGACCTGATGGATGGAGTGGATCTTTTCATTCCAGAGAGACTATACAGTCCTTTTGTACTCAGGTCCACTGAAGGAGTCACATTCTCCAAACCAGTGACAGATGTAATACTCTGACAGTCTGATTCCACATCTGTTTTTGCTGCATCCTCCTTTGAAGAAGAATCAGGACTTATGGTCCAAAGGCCTGAATTTTTCTGTCCATTAGATGGGGATGATGCAATCCAAGGAACAGCTCCTGTTTTTTCCTTGGGCTGAGAAGATGCTGGTTTTGTGGTGCTGTTCTGTTCTGATGAGTGAGAAGAAAGTGATTCAATGCTGCCCATAGGAGTACTGTCTGGACTGCTGCTGTATGAATCACCTAGATGGTAGAAAAAGTGAAGGTCAAGATCAGTGGAAATACAGCATTTCTCAGGAAGGAATTGAAATTGCAATACAACCTTCTAATGAAAACTTCAGAAATAAATGTACATTTGTAAACCTAAAACTGTATGGCTAAGGTTCCTTGTCACTGGTTTAAGTGGATAGTGCAGGTTGAGTGTCCCTTATCCAAAATGATTTGGGACCATTTTGGAGTTTTTTGGCTATTGGTTTGCTTGTATTTGCGTATACATACATAATGGGATATTTTGGAGATATGATCTAAGTCTAAAGATGAAAGTCATTTGTGTTTCATATCCAACTCATTCACATTTTATAGTTTTTAAAATGATATTGCACATGAAACAAAGTTTGCATACATTGTTATGTATCATTTTGGATTTCAGAATTCTTGACAAGGGATTCTCAACTTGTACCAATTTTAATTAGGAGGAAATGCAGTAAAAAGCACAAAAAGGGATGACAGTCAAGATAATAAATCACTATAAATACTTTAGTTTATGTTATACACCAGAGCAGGAACACCTGTGACCTTAAAACAACACAACAGCAAGCAGTTAATTGAAGAATATATGTAGGCAAAGCAGTAAAAATAGTAAAGCAGTAAATGTCCAATATATAAAATAATCCATAAACATCAAGGGAAAAGCAGATCCTTGAGTACATAAAATCCATGAAACTAGCCACCTGTATCCATGAAACAAGACAGCAGGAAAATCTCATAGACAAATTGTAAGCTTGGCAAAAACTTGGTACATGAAAGCAAGACAGTGATAAAATAACAACATTGACTGACTGAGGCAACTCTCTCCCATGAATCATTATAAAGCTTTTGCATATCACAAAACTGAAAGGAAAACATTTTTCTTGACTTTCCCAGCAGATAACGGTTTGTTATCTCTCTTTTGCTGTAGATGAACTGATGTCTCAGTCTCTGAAGATTTTGTTTCTCTTTACTAAAACTTTGCTTTCTGTCCAAGCTTTCATTATCTTCTCTCTCATTAACTCCTGCACCTGACAAATCATGTTCAGACAGTTGTTCTGAGAAAAGCTCTGAGGCCTCTCCCAAGAATGTGGCCTTATGAATGTTTCTGAGACAGCTCGGGCCTCTTGTCTGAGCTTAACAAAGGCCTAAGCAAACCCTCATCCCCAATGCCAACAGACCCAGGACCACCACCAGGAACATCATCCCCATTCCCATCATGAACATCTACATAAACATCAGACATAATCACAAGCTGAACAGTTTAAGGGGAAAAGCTGTAATGCAGTGGTTTTCAACCTGGGGTCCCCAGATGTTTTTGGCCTTCAACTCCCAGAAATCCTAACAGCTGGCAAACTGGCTGGGATTTCTGGGAGTTGTGGGACAAAAAGTTGAGAACCACTGCTGTAATGCATGAATGGATTCCAATTTCAGAATGATCTCAGGCCTCAAAGTAAAACAGATGTGACTGTAATCAATTCTTACCAATTATAAAAAATTCCAATATAAAATTAGTTCTATGCATGTCTCCTCAGGTATAAAGTCAACTCTAATGACTTCCTAAGCTACAATCTTGAGTCCACATTTAAAAATGTGCAAGCCATAGCAAACAAAATTTCCAAGACCACATAAATGTCTCAGGGAGTCTCTGTCCCTTCAATGAAGATAAACACTATAAGGATATATCTATTAACTCAACCTCAACCAATGGCTGATACCCAATGAGAGACTCCCCCCTGGGCACACAGAGGACTGGGCGACCTGGAAGGCACTGAACAGACTGCGCTCTGGCACCACGAGATGCAGAGCCAACCTTCAGAAATGGGGCCACAAAGTGGAATCCTTGACATGCGAGTGTGGAGAGGAGCAAACCACTGACCACCTGCTGCAATGCACCCTGAGCCCTGCCACATGCACAAGGGAGGACCTTCTTGCAGCAACACCAGAGGCACTCCAAGTGGCCAGATACTGGTCAAAGGACATTTAATCAACTCTCATACTCACAAATTCTGTAATCTCCTTGTTTGCTTTGTTTCTGTTAGAAATGTAATATAATTTGACTGGTTGTTCTGACACGACAAATAAATAAATCTATTAACTAGCATTACTGGGGTTGCAGATATCAGGTCTGCTCCCAAAAAGAATCCTGATGCCCACATGGATATAGAAAGACAAGATAGAATCAGTGTTCATGAAATGGCAGAAAATGAAGCCATCAGAATGTGATGGAGGGCAGAGCTGAACAAGACTAGCATCTTGAAACTAACATCTACAGTTCCAACACTGGGACTGGATGAACTGTCCTATTAACATCCTAGATGTCTGCAGTGGCTTCATTTAAATCATGTATCCTTGGAGTGATCTGATGGATATGGGATGGAAAGAAGACAGGTTGACAGCTGTATTTGTTAGATTAGACTGCTATACAATTGATCCGGAAATAAATTCACCTATACCAAGATGATTTTGCTGGAGAAACATAAACAGGAAACATAAACACATAATGAAGCATAGAAAAATTCAGGAGATAAGACAAAATCCACTTTGCAGATGACAAAGTACCAACACCAGGGAAAATCAAGACTCACATTCATCTATAGTTTTAAAAAAGCACAAAAAGCTCTCAGCCCAGAAGCACCTTTTAATACTCAAAGAAGCAACTATTGCCATCCACTAATTGCCAACCATGAGGGTGGGAAGGCGTTAGTGAACTAAACAGCACTTACTATCATGGTCTGCCAGGCATGGTGTATATCGTCCTTTGGGTTTGCGAGGGCCTGTGGAGAGGCAGATTGCTCTTGTTCTTCTTGAGCCTGATCGGGATTGAGGCTGCGGAAGAGGAATGTTGGGGTCCGGGGCTGTGTGGAATATCTGTCAGTTAAAAGCAAGGACTCTTAACATAAACATATTATATAACTCTTCTTGACAATCTTTAGGAATACCCACACTTTTAGGTAAAGAGATCATGACAGATCTAGGTCCTACTGCTATGAATTTTTATGTAAAAATTGCAGCTATGGTGGAAACAGAAAAACCCTTTTTCTCTTCAGTATAATGAGTTTAGTCATATTGTTTTCATTACACCATTTCCAATAGTTTTTAAATGTATATTAGACATTCTCTAGGCATTCCTTTAGTAGATATAAAAATCTTAATTCAATTTTTGGGCTGCAGGAAGACATGAGTTTTGTTTGAAGGTTATGAACTTCAAACTATTAAAAACAGGAGTTGTGGATTACGGTGTGTATAGTCATGCCAATGTGATATGACAGATTTTCATGGGTTTGGTCTATTTCTTCTGGTTAATACATCTAACAACTAAATAGATGTCCCTGTCACTAACATCCACCAGGGTCATGACATTTTTAAATTTACCCGTCCTTCCATAATGCTTACATACAGATTATACACAGACACAGATTACGCACCCCTTATCCAGAATTTCAAAACCCAAAATGTTCCAATATCCTAAATTGTCCACTTTAGCTTTCTGGTGTTTCAAGCGACACAAACTTTGTTTCATGCAAACATTATTTAATATAATGCATAAAATTACCATCAAGCTATATGTACAGGATGTATATGAAACATGAATAAATATAGAATTGAGTCCCACCTCCAAGATATATCATTATATATAGTAAACTATGTATCTAAAATTCTAAAAAATCTGAAATTGAAACCACTTTTGATTCCAAAGATTTTGGATGGGGTGCACGAAACGTGTATATGTGTGAGCTTGTGGGTGTCTGTTTGCCCACACACACACACCCCCCAATGTGACTGTTGCCTTATGGTGAGCCCATTTTGATTTTTAGGCAATGTATTCTGGAAGATGGTTTGCCATTCTTTTCTCTGAAATACAGCATCTGGTATTCCTTGGCTGTTCCCCATCCAAGTTCCCATCTAACCAGACCATAATCTGCTCAACTTCTATTAATATGTAGTGGGAAAGGAGAAATGCAGAACCATCCTGAAACCAACATAACACTATGAGACTCAGAAAGGAGGAATGGGAAACCAGGTGTATGACTGCCATTTTCTGGGAGTTAATACTGTCATCATTCTGACAATTGACATAGATCTCAATAATGACAGTACAAAGTTAAAGTTAACAAAGTTAAAAAGTTTACAAAGTTTAGTATGGTCATACCAAAAGCCCCAAGTCCCTTTTGGGTGATGGTGGCAGGGTATAAATAAAGTTTTATTATATCATCATTATCATTATCCTCTGACCATGAAACTTAATTCATCATTCTGCTTCAACCTAGAGTTGAAAGGATGGGGCTATTGGGAACTGTAGCTTAATGAATCTAGAGAGCTAGTATAAACTCCTTATTTTCTTTCTTTGCTGTATTCATGAGATTGTTGTTTTGTCCTAAGATAAAATAACAAGAACATTAAGGAGGAGGCAGATGGCCTTGTCCTTCTCAGACATGAATGGGGACAAGGCTGTGGAACAGATATTCTGAGGTCTAAGTCAAGTACCAGTTGTTGGAATGCTATTTTTTACAATAGTTTTTTTAATCTTTTGGAAGGGCTAACAAGATTCCACTGTTCTACCTTTTCATAATGTTCAATGAGAATCTCAACCACAATATTTTGAAACTTGATGTTCATCATAGCAGCTACTGTTTCCTCTTGGGCTCTCATCAGCGTGGGACCAAAAATAACTCCAAGGTTGGATATGGTCATGAGATTTTGTTGACTATGTAACGATACTCTGCAAAATGGTGAAAAGAAAAAGAAAGTAAAAAAAGTTAAACATTGCCTACTAACTTTATCAAAGGTCTTTTTCCTCTCAAATTTTAAGAAGCCACTTGTAATTTTGATTTTATAATATACACCATGCAGTCATGCCAGCCACATGATCTTGGAGGTGTCTATGGACAATGCCATCTCTTCGGCTTAGAAATGGAGATGAGCACCAACTTCCAGAGTCAGACATGACTAGACTTAATGTCAAGGGAAATCTTTACCTTTAATAAACACCAGAATGATGGAATTGCACACATGGCACAATAACTATGTTTTCCTAACAGGATTCTTCCAAATATATCAGATAAAACTTGAACATAAAATTGCTCTGGGCATTTTTTTCTCCTTAGAAGAGCCATGAGCAATTAAAGTTGGCAATGCATAACTGAAATCAACATGAATGACATCCATCCATTAATCTATCTATCTATCTATCTATCTAATGTTGATGAGGCGAAGGTCTACATGCTATAGAATGTATGGGTAGATTTAAATTAATTTATTAAACCCAATTCCAGTCTTAATCAGCTTATTTCAATATTGTGATTCCTGCATAGTGCTGCCAACTCATCATACAATGAGTCCATATTCCACTTTGTATGTTTCACGTGGAATTTTCTTGCAAACATGTGCATGGGTGGTTCAGTCCATTTTGACAGGACATCAATTTAAACATTCTGCCAAAAAGATAGATATTAGAGCTGAGCCTCCGTCAGAAAGAGATGAATATAACGTTATAATTCTCATTTTGTTATGAAGTCAAACTGACTCTAACTGACATTTTGGTGAAAGGATAAAGCCATTCAAAGGGCACGGCCAGTCTACCTTTACATAAATCATGGTATTTTAATTTCAGTTGGAATAATTTGGTGCTTCATTTACAGGGAGGCCTCTAAAAATGCTGCTTGTCTATTTTGATAAATAGCAATTAGATTTTAAAAATATCAAGGGGTAAGCGATGCCAGCCACAAATCATTTCTTCATTTGGCAATCTCTCACAATTTTCGATTGCAACAAAAACAGGTTAAAATAGTCTTAGCTGCAGCAATACAGGTATGACTCAGATCCTCAACTAGAGGAAGTCAACACACAAGCACTTTCTTGGTTTTGCAAAGAGGAGCTCTTGATGTTCTTCCCCTCCACTGCACACGTCTCAAGTGGCAGAAATCTTTGTCATGGCTTTTGACACAATGAATGTGTGCTGCATTGAGATACAGAAAAAAAATAGGAAGGAAAGAATCACAAAAATTGAGTCAATTAGACAGATTTTATTGCATGTGGCAGGCAAACTGGAACTGATGGTCTTCTTCCCACCATGATTTAACTATTGCTGGCTATTGACAAGCAAAACCCAACAACAGCTGTCAATCCAACAATGTTCCCATCATCTTTGGGGCATTCTATTTCTGTGCCAGCATATCAGCACTAAAGTGATGTCAAAGAGTGGTATTCTCCTCTTCTCCCCCTTGCTATTCCCAAATTATTTGCTTATATGCTGGCTAGGGCTGATGGGAGTAATAGTCAAGCAACATCTGAAGGACTTCTGTAGGATGAAGTACTTGGTATCAACTTTAATTAAATGTGTCAGCTATCCATTTCCCTGGAAAGAGGTGATTTGGTCATGCTCATTCATGCTTTAGTCATATTCAGAGTTGATTACTGGAGCAGACTGCCTTTTGTGCTGCCCTTTAAAACATGTAGAGATTTGAACAGGTTCAAAATGTAGTAGCCAACCTATGATGAGAGTTAAAGAAGGGATCAAAACACTCCAAATTCTCAAAGAATGTCACTCTCTCACAGTTTATTTCAAGGTGCCATCCAAGGTGTTAGTTCTTCACATCCTAAATTAGCCTTGCACCACATGGAGTTCTCTGAATATATTGCACCACAATTCCCGAATTATGCAACCATCAATGTCATGCCATTATAGAACTCCAGTGAGCCCTCCACATTTGGGAATTTAAATTTTGCAGATTTGATTAATATGTTCTTTTTAGGAATTGCTAGGTTCTTAAGAGGAACTTTATGGTCAGTTTCAGCAGATGTTAACAACAGAGACATAGATTCCTATTGAAATGTTATCTTGGGTAAAAAAGTGGTGTTTTTAAACTTGCATTTTTCCCATTTTTATGGGGGCCCTGTGCCCTTAATCCCTGGCAATGTGGGACATACACACATATAGCTTTGTATATAACTTAAAGGCAATGTTACAATTTTAAGTTTTGTATTGATCAAAGAAGTTTGAAGCGGTAAGATACATACAGAAATAAGAGAATACCAAAGTTTCCATATGATTTATCATTCCCAACAATGATAATTGCTTAGGTTGTCTTGGTGACAAATTGGATCTCTAAGCACCACAATAGAAAATAGAGTTTCATATTATCATGACACGGAATGATTAGGCACAAATTTTGAAGCAGATTCGGCATAGTCTCCAGTTCTTTCAGAAGTTGTAGAAAATTGCTTTTTAGAATACTTATAATTTGGAACTTTACAAAAAGCCAATTTTCATTTGAGTCTATGCTACTTTTCTCTTGGGATAATGAACAGGTATATGCTCAAATAATCAGGCAAGGAAATATGGCACTATTCTTTATTTCATAAGTAAGAAAATTGATGTCTCCTGAAATTCTCTTTCCTCTTTTCGTTGTCATTGTGAGATTTTAGACATGACCGATTTGCAGATTGCTGTTTCCTTTTATTACAATGATATGAGTTACCGAGTGATTCCCCCTCCCTTACTGTATGAACATGGTACAGCAAGTAAGTAGAGCTTCCATAGTCAAATCCTCAGAATTAACATGTATGTATGCATGTTTTTGCACCCTTTTGTTCAGTTTCTTTGTTTTTAGTACATGATATCCTTGATTTCCCCAAGTTCAGAAGTTTGGTCTATATTTATCTGTTTTTAAAAGGTACAACTGGGTTTATACAGTTCACAAATTATGTTCTGATATATTAAACATTACTTCTTTTTTACTGCTGTTTCACTTCAGTGTGACCCTATGTTTTTAAATGTTTCAGGAGATGTTGGCATTCAGCTGGTGCAGCTTTTACCTGAATACGGATTGTACAACATTTGGGATTCTGCTTCAGGTATCTGAAGATACGGAACCATACTTTTACACAACCTCAAGTACTATTGCATCCTGCCTACACAACAGGAATGATCATATTGACAAAACCCAAGGTTATTGGATGGTCAAGCTATTGTAGGACAATGCTCATAAAATATCTTAGAAAGGTTATTGGTTTGGACTACACTCAGAAGAGTCTTCTAGCCAACTTGGATATAGCAGTGCAGAGTTGAACAAGTCATGATACAATTTTAAATCTCCAAAAACCAAGATCGGTCTTCTAAACTATTCTTAACCCCTTTCTTTTTAGGATAACTCATACCTCGTGTTTCTCCAGCCTACCCAATTCCATATTCCTTAGGATGAAGCCATGAAAATTAAATTAATGTAACTTCCAAGTTCATATATATAATTACTGCCTTTACAGACATCTCAGAATCCAGAACAGATAGCAGTGCAAACACAGGCACTAGGTGGCATGGATAGAACTGAAGTCAAATTCAGTTGAATAGGTAATATTGCAATCATATTTGTAATTGACACTGTAATTCTTTTTCTTCCCCCTCACCTTTCACTCCTACTGCTCAGTCATTCTTCCCTCCCCTCACCTTTAGAACATATCAAACTGATGCTGATAGATATACATATATAGGTTGGATTTTTCTAGACGTTAGAAAGGCCTGGAATAGAAATGCTTTAAAAACCTATCTTTTAACACTCAAATCCTGTTGAAAACATTTGGACTAAACCTTGGAGTTTATTGCTTTTATTCTGGAGGAGAAAGGTTTATGGACCACAGTAGCCTAGTGACTCAATGGAATGAAGGTTCAGCTGCCATTATCCAATATGTCTGGGAATATCACACAAGAAGTGTTTCACATTTCAGACATTTTTTGATATTTTATTTTAGAGTATGTACTATATTTGCGAGGTTGGAAGGAGAGAGACATAGGCTGCAGAGGCATAGATTTGTGCTTGGTTTCCCACAATTTCCTAGATCTTCAGTCTCTCTTCATCTCCACAACTCATACAAAACACAGCAGTGAATGAAGGTTGGAGAGAGCCTGAGGATCTGTGAAATGACAGGAATCCAAGTTTAGTGCTTGGTGCCAATCATGGCTCCTGTCATTTCACAGATACCCACATCTCTCTTTAGCCTTGTATCTCTCTGAAGCTTTGCATCTCTTTTGTTATTTGTGCTGTGTATGAAATGTGAGGCAGGAGAGAGATTGAGGATCTGAAAGCCTGGAAAAAAACCCATTATTTTTATTGTACTGGAGATCTCCAGGAAGCCACCAACTGGTTGCTTTTACGTTGTGAATGAACAAGGGGAAGAATCACAGCCACTGCCTCAAAGATGGAAGCAAAATGATGGAAGCAAAAGGTTTAGGATTTTGGAGGGTTTCATATAAACAGATAATGGAGGCTCAAAATTATTTCAGGCCAGAAATGATTTCAGGCTAGAAAGCCCCAAGGTGGACACTCACACTTTCAGGTGTCCATGTTTTACAGTCTTGGAGTTATGGCAAAGTCAGCTAAACAACACACATACAGACAGTGTTGTTGTGTGCCTTCCAACTTATAGCAAACTAAAAGAAATTTCTTGGAAAACTAACTTTGAGGGTGTCTGGCATTGCTTTTCTCTGTGCTTGAGAATGTGACTTGTCTAAGGTCACCCAGTGGGTTTCCACAGTGAAACAAAGAATCCAACCCTAGTTTCCCAGTTTCATAGCCCAAGCATTTACATAGACTTTAAATACCCTAGATAATCTTTATTTTAATGTAATGAAACCTCTAAGTTTTGGTTAAGTGAATACTATAGCCTGAGGATATGAATGATATTCAAGACAGGGTTTTTAAAATGCCATGTAAGAAAGGCTATACTCCAGAACAAAAAGTAACAAGAGAATAGTAACTAAACAAACAAAAGCCTGTGCTTCCCCTAATATGGAATCATTCCCTGGCAGAAATAGAAGACTGTTCTAATTAATGGAATTAATTAATCAACACCATTTAGTACCTCTAAGGCTATAGTTACAAAACACATTTCCAGTCATCAATTCTTTGCTTGCAGTCCTGTAGAGAGTTGTATCCTTTTCTCATCTTTTTGATACAAAGCAATTAGGAGAAGCAAGGAAGAAGCTACACAGCATCACACCTTCCTTCCTCTGAACTTCATTACCGCCACCAACAAATCAGAAAATAGTTCTTACTTGACCAAGTGCTTGATTAGGATGTCCAGCATCTCTCGGTTCTTCTCTGGCAGTTTGTGTACAAGTGCATGGACTGCTTCAACTCTATAATTTTGATCATCAGACTCTAATAAAACAACAGCAGAAGTGAAAAAACAAAGAACAATTGTAAGAAGAAAACTAACAGCAACACACACACCATTGTGTGTGTGTGTTTTGCAGTAACATAAATGCTTGGAGGTTGTATTTTAAGGACATGTTTTCACAAATATTCATAGACAAAGTATTTTAGTAAATTAGGCTTCTGAAAACGAATATGAAATTCTATGTGATATTTGAAGCATTTACACCCTGTTCTGTTTTAACTGCAGAAAATCAAGATATATTATTATTATTATTATTATTATTATTATTATTATTATTATTATATTCATAACAAGATTTGTACAGAGTAAACAAGATCATTATGCTGGCTTTTGTATTTGATCACATGTCAGACACTTTCTAAGTGTCTAGGACTGTGTGATGTGTCAGCGAATAATGTGTGCACATCCCAGTAGGGTAGTCTTATGCAGCGGACAGATGGCAATTTTGGCAGCACCAATTGTTTTTAAGTGCAGGCCACGGTCTTTAGGCACTGCACCCAGTTCCAATCACCACTGGGACCAGCTTTACTGGCTTGTGCCAGAGTGTTTGCAGTTCTACCTTTAAATTCTATTATTATTATTATTATTATTATTATTATTATTATTATTATATGTTTATTTATATCCCACTTTTTCTCTCCACAATGAGACTCAAAGCAGAGTACATTAAAAGCATTTAAATACAATTTAAAAATATATAAATAAGAATTAAAACAATTCAGGAAAAAAACCCAGAAGCAACAACTAGAAGCTATGGTTATATACAGTGCCAGAACATCCTCTTAAATAGCAAATAATCTCTGGCTACATTCTGTGCTGGCCACATAGCCCTCAAATATGCTTGCCATGTATGCATTAGATATTGTTTATGCACACTTTGTTGTTCTCTGTGTAACTCTGAAGTTCTATAAAATACTGATAGTTGGAATAAACTTTATCTTGCTTGGTGCTGTGAGCATCTTGGACTGAAAACAGTACCAGGCCTTACAGATCCCTGGCAAAGGTACTGTTTTTGAAAAAAATGTTTTTCCACTTAGTTTCAGAGCTTACTCTATCTCCATGTTTCACTTGGGAAATACAGTGGGCCGAGTTTTCAGTCCTACACAGCACTAACTTTAAACAGAGGAATCTTTTATTGTTGCCTCTACTTTTGCTCCAAATCACAATGGTATTTACTCTATATTATTGCTGTTGCAATAGTTCTGAACATTGTGGGTGCCAGTGGTTAATGCTGACACCAAACAGTGAAATCTATGCCCTACACCACAGCTCCCAGACACAACTAGAGCCCCAATGCCTTATGTACTTGTACAGGAGAATCAAACATCTTATAGTATCCTATTTTATAAAGGCCAAGTAAGAACCTGTATAAGAAATTTCACAGGGACTAATGAAAATAGATTGTGCCTAGAAACAACTAGGTGCAATAGTGAAAATTACCAGAAGCTGAAATTAATTCCAATAATTCATCCCATCTGTGAAACCCTGACTTTACCATCAAATTTCATCTGTGCTAGTGTTCAGAAATAATAATTTGCAGAAATTGAACTATCTTAAGAAAGCTCTCCAAAGTGCCTTTATCTTTGAACTGCATTGGACTCAGATTCAAACAGGATATAAGTAGGAATCTATGACCTAGGCTAAATAAATATCTTCTTTCACACAGGGTAGCCTTATAGGGAGCCACTAGTGAGTGTGCATCTAGAGCAGACACGGGAAAACTTTCTAACTTGGGGTCACATGGTGGGCCAGAGCGGGGTGGGTGAGCCGCAAGGAAGAGTGTTCTCCCCATGTCCTCTCCATGACCTTTCCTCCCCTTCCTTTTCTCTTTCGGATGCAGAAAGTGAAGGAAAGACAGGAAATGTTTGGATACCAAAAAAGGTTCGCCTTCGTCAGGATGAGATGGTGGATGGGAGAGAAAAAGTATATCCAGGGGACCCAGTATTGCCTACTCCTGATATAGATTCCTAGAATCCTAAAGCTGAAAGAAACCCCTGAAGGCCATCCAGTCCAACCTCTTGCCTTGTAAGACGGCACAATCAAAGCACTCTCAATAGACAGCCTCTGTGGAAAAGCCTCCAGAGAGACGCAACCACACTCCCAAACAGCCTAGGCCACGCTGCAGAAAGGTTTTCCTAATCTTTTCAGTTTAATCTTTTCCCCTGCCATTTGAAACCATTGCTTCCTTGTGCCCTGGTGTCTAGAGCAGAAGAAAGTCATTTTTGTCCTCCTCAATGGCAAACCCTTTTAAATTTTGAAACTCTAATGGTTCTAATGTTCCCTCTGTCTACCTTCTCTTCTCCCAGCTAAACATCCTCCAAGAGGGAAAGAGGAAAGAAAAAGAGAAGGAAGGGAGGGAGGAAGGGAAGGAGGGAAGGGTATAAGAGGATGGAGGGAGGGAAAGCAGGGAGGAAAGGGAGAAGGAAGTATGATGAGAGAGAGAAGGGCCTGAGGAAAGAGCCCAAGGGGCTGCATCCAGCCCCCATGCCTGGGTTTGCCCATACCTGATCTATAGTCTAGACTCAATGTAGCTTGTCACCCCTTTAACTGCCAAGACACAACTGTATGGAATCACACAAGCTGTAGTTATACAAGGTCTTTCTCTCCCTCAGTCCCTCTCACACAGTAACACTTTTCATGGTAAAATAATAATAAATTTAGTGAAAATAAAAAAAAATCATTACTCTAGCGATAGAAAGGGGATAATGGAATGACTGACTATCCCCAATGGTGAAAATCTCCAAAGATGCAGCAGCAACAATAGTATTATAACATCTTAAATGAGCTGCTTTCCACCAAAGTCTATCCGTATTAGATTTTAAAATGGCACAATATTATTAGCTGTTCTCCACTAATGCATGTGTAATTTATTCATTGATGGGAGAAGTGAACATACCCACGTAAACACACCCACGGAGTTGGCAAAAAAAATTAAGGGATGTGAAAGGTGGAAACAACTGAGATCCAATTCATACAATGCTGTAATAGAATGGGGTGAGTCAATCTAGAAAAGACACTCTTCTCCCTACTGTCTTTCTTTTCCCCGTCTTTCCATTTTTCTTTATTTACTTGGTTTTAAACTTTGTTTTTCCCTCTTTAAATACTCAATAAAGATTTTTTTAAAAAGAAAAGACATTCTAGAATTTGGCACCACTTACATGGAATCATGGGAGTTGCAATTTTACACGTTCTTTGTCTTTTTTGCTAGAAAGTGCTGGTGCCTCACTAAAATACAAATCTCAGAATTCCACTGCATTGAGCCATGGCAGTAAAAGTTGTCAAACTGTATTAATTCTATGGTAAGCTAAAAAGGCCTCTCCTGTTCCCACCAGATATACCTGTGAGGATGGTTTGACAGAATGATGCACCTCCCTAAAAGATCTCAAAACATGAATAGGCATAGTTCCCAAGCATTTTGCAGATACAGCTCCACATACGGTGTGTGGGAAAAACAATGCCTCAAGCTGTTGGGACATCCTTTTGCACAGCATTTCTCAACCTGGGGGTTGGGACCCCTGAGGGGGTCATGAGGGGATGTCAGAGGGATCACCAAAGATCATCAGAAAACAGAGTATTTTCTTTTGGTCATGAGTGTTCTATGTGGGAAATCTGGCCCAGTTCTATCATTGGTGGGATTCAGAATGCTTTTTGATTACAGGTGAACTATAAATCCCAACAACTACAAGTCCCAAATGTGAAGGTTTATTTTCTCCAACTCCACCAGTGTTCACATTTGGGCATATGGAGTATCCATCCTAAGTTTGGTCCAGATCTATGATTGTTTGAGTCCACAGTACTCTCTGGATGTAGGTGAATGACTCCAAAACTCAAGGTCAATGCCCACCAAACCCTTCCAGTATTTTCTGTTGGTCACGGGAGTTCTGTGTGCCAAGGTTGGTTCAATTCCATTGTTGGTGGAGTTCAGAATGCTATTTGATTGTAGATTAACTATAAATCCCAGCAACTAAAACTCTCAAATGACAAAATCAACCAAACCCCAACCACACCAGTATTCAAATTTGGGTGTATTGTGTATTTATGCCAAATTTGGTTCAGTGAATAAAAACACATCCTGCATATCAGAAATTTACATAACTATTCACAACAGTAGCAAAATTACAGCTATGAAGTAGCAACTAAAATAATTTTATGGTTGGCAGTCACCACAACACGAGGAACTGTATTAAGGGATTGTGTCATTAGTAAGGTTGTGAACCACCTGTTATGCAGTGAACCCAAGTTAGACCAGTATATATATCAGCAGTCCCCGAGTTACAAATATCCAACTTATAAACTATGAAAGAACAGGGGCGAGATAATAGGAAGTGACAGAAATCTACTCTGATTTTCCCTAGGAAGGAAAATTCACTCCTGAAAGAGTTACCACGAGGAAAGGGGGTCTCCACTGAAGCTTTATCACCAATTCTTGTTTCCACAACAAGTCAAATTTTTCAAAATCCAATTATTACAGGGACAGAAAGTGAGGTGAAATCATCTGAACAGGAGCACAGACCACAAAACAAACCCTTCCTTACGCTATAGAAAGCTTATATAGACACTTTAAATATACCTGTTTTGACTTACAAACAAATTCAACTTAAGAACAAACCTACAGAACCTACAGAACCTACAGTAGAGTCTCGCTTATCCAACATAAATGGGCCAGCAGAACGTTGGATAAGCGAAAATATTGGATAATAAGGAGGGATTAAGGAAAAGCCTATTAAATGTCAAATTATATTATGAGATTACTAATTAAGCACCAAAACATTATGCTTTAGAAAAATTGACAGAAAAGCAGTTCAGTACACGGTAATGTTATGTAGTAATTACTGCATTTACGAATTTATCACCAAAACATTGCAATGTATTGAAACAGCTGTGGATCTGGGCAGGAGGTAGACAGCGCTGGATAATACAGAATGTTGGATGAGTGAAGGTTGGATAAGCGAGACTGTAAGTTGGAGATTGCCTGTATACGCTAAACACAAGTTTGACTCTTTTCCACAGCATTTTTACTTACTAACTGCAACAATGAAATCCTTGTGCAACTTGAAGGTCATCAACGGCTCTGCAAGACACCTGGGTAAAACATTATGGAAGACAATGTTTATCTTGCTTGGTACAGTTTTGTTAAAACTACCTAATTTATTCTCTCACTGATGTCTCATCCTAAATCAGTGGTTCTCAACCTGTGGGTCCCGAGGTGTTTTGGCCTACAACCCCAGAAATCCTAGTCAATTTACCAACTCTTAGGATTTTTGGCAGTTGAAGGCCAAAACACCTGGGGACCCAGAGGTTGAGAACCACTGCCCTAAATGGATAGGAGTGTAAAACAAAAATAGCGCCCATGAAGGAGAGATCTGAATTTAAATATATAGAACAAGAACAGAATAATTTTTCCTATCAGTTTCAAAAATCATCTTCTGCTACAGAAACAATCATTCCCTTAAAATAACAAAAGAAAAAGGATGCTTATTTCTCACTTCCTGATTAAATGAAGTCTTGTGCTTCATATACTTCTAGTAAATTGGAGGGAAGTGTTTCATGCACTATGGCTTCAAACTAAACTATGCTTGCCTGAATGTTTTTAAAAAAACCTTAACTTCAGACTTTATAGTAAACTAATATATCTAGTGTTCTGGTTCAGGGTGTTAATTTATCCAAAAAATGCTTCCTGTAAAGTACGGGTAGATATCGTATTTCTTGTAAGCTATATTAAGCCAATGTATGCATTTGTGTTATGTGCAGCCTTGACCTCCCAGGTCCATATCAACCTCCTCTATCCTAAAAATTTAAAAATTGGCCTAGCAAGCTATTTTTGATGGGAAAATGGCATGGAGCTTGAATTTTTATTCTAAACATTGATTCATAGAACTCATTTCCAAAACATTAAAAATTAAAAAAGATCAGAAGAGACAACAATATCCCTTTTTGTTTTGTATAATAGCAAGTGTGAGACCCATGGCAGGATATCCAAATGACCCTTAAACCTTCTAAAAGGGTGTGGTGAAGTATAACATACTGCCAATATTTTTAATTTGTTTTAATAATAAACTGGCAATTCTAAGCATGTTTTTAAATGAAGATGTTTTGTTGGTTTTCCATACCCCCAAGAAAGAATCAATTAATCTGACAGGATTGATAAAGAGGATGCTAGGAGTCATAGTTGTGTTTACCCAGCCTGAATATAACAAATTAGAAAGCCATGTTGCACAGTTCTGCTAAAAAAGAAACTAGTCAATGAAAGAGATTTACTCTTCAGTGCTGTGAATACTGGATATTGGCTTACAAATTAAACATGTCCCTTAAAGATGGAGAGCTTTATGGTGCTTGATAACAATAGCTGCCTATACAAATGGTTACTGATTATTTCCTCTTTTACAATGCTATAGTCATTACAAGACTTGAAAAATCTTAAGTCAAAATGCAGATAAGCAGACAGGACATCTGAAAGTTGGAATCCACACACCTTACTCACCTGAGGTAGTTCTTTAGTCCACTTGTTATAGTTTTATTGTCCCAAATTTCTAAATCAATGTCCATGTCAGGAGGAGATTTAGGAGCTATTACAAGAGAGATGAAAAGATTGAAAGAGACTGCAGTATGGCATGACTCAATTGCTTTACATATAAAGTACTAAATTAGAAGAATGGGATGCTGTCTAATATAACTCTTCTGATATTTAATGGAAACCTATGCATTATGTGTGGTTTATCAGAGGTGTCCAGTTTTTAGGACTGCATATGCACAGTACATATAATTGACTATAATATTAGAGTACTTTTTCAAGTATCTTGAAGGTCCTCAGTGCATTACTTACATTTCTAGATAGAGTAACTAGAAGTTAGCAGGGCTGGAAAAGTCCTCACCGAAGAAGAGTATTACCACCTTGGGACTAATCCAACCCCCTTGTGATGCCAGGGGAACTCACTCATGAAATGTATATGGGCAGAACCGGCCACAGTCTCTATTGGAAGATAAGAGTGGAAACCCTCCCACTGTTGCTGATTTTGTCCCTTAAATAGTATACCTGCTTGCTGTTTTTTGATCAAAGGTTTTCTCTTACATATATATTAGAGTTGTGCATGGAATTCGTTTTTTCCTGTTTCTTTCATTTCAGCCCCCTCACCGTACAAAAATCAACTTGACATGAAAGCATGCTGGAGCTGATCCTGGCTTCAATCCTGCTTTTGCCTGCAGCCGAGCACCTCCCAGAACTTACCTCCTTGCTTTGGAAAGAGAGAGAGTGTGTGGTGTTCAGAGGTGCAGAAAGCGCAAGCACCTGTCAGTACCCACAGACGAGTGTCTCTTACTCTAGAGTAAGAGGTGCTTGGCTGCAGGCACTGACAGGCATGCATGCTTTTTCGGACTCCATGCCATGCACACCCCTTCTTTCCAAGGACAATGTGTGTGCAGTGTGGCGTGTAGACTCAGAAAGCGTGCCGAGCACCTCCTCTAAAGTAGAAACAGCAGGTAAGAAGAAGCTTCCTTAAAGCCGGGAAGGAGAGCCTGGGTGGGAACCCGCCCACAAATAATGGCCCAATAGAAAACAGATCTTTTGGGGTCTAAGAGTGAAAACAGATACCTGTTGGGAGGCTCCCAAAAACAGATTAGGATCCCCACTGAAAGCCAGGACACAAAATGGGTCAAGGTTTACCCCGAATGCTCAACCTTAATATATATCAAACTATTAAAGCACATGAAAGGACTAAAAAATTGAAACAGATGCCTGCTATGCTTTTTCTTGGAACTTTTAGTAGGTGTTAAAATGCTGATTACAGGGGAAATAAAATCTTCTGATTATAGGTTAATTGGAGCTTATCAGTGGAAAGTCAATTATGTGTGAAAATGCCTGCTTTCCAATGGCTCGTACAGTATTTTAGATTACACTATGTCTAAATCATATAAGTAGCTAATTAAATTCCCAACACTTTATTTGTGAGTGCATTTGAGATGGAGATAAAGAGTTTGATTATGCCTGAAGGGATTTCTCATTTGGTCGCTAGAATAGTTACTGATCCCCTTTTATGTACCTTGGGTAGTTTCCTCTTGTGTGAAATGGCAGAACAGAAAACCTTTCTTTTATTTTTTTCTCTGTATGCAACTGAAGTTTTCAGGAAGTTCCCCTCTAATGCATGTATGGAAATTGGAAAAAAAATCCTAAAGCTGCCGAACTGTAATTCCCAACATTCCTCAACCCAGTTGGGATACAGGATGATGAAGAAAGCAAAATGAATACTTTTGAGAACCTTAGATATATAGTTATGTATAAGATCAATAAGACTGACCTACAATCAATCTATTGGCATTATGTTTAGACTATAGAATAGATGGAGAAACCAGAGGGAAATGTTTAAATGCTCAAAGATACTGAGGAATAAATATTCAATAGTATTCTTATAGCTTTGAATTATGTAAAGAGAAATCAAGGGTAGAGGTTAGAGATTCTCGGGAGAGAATGGGGAGGTGGTGGGATTGGGAGGGAAATACTTGTATTTTGATTGTTCAATTTTGGAGGTTGTTTGTTTCTATGTATGTATATACAATTTAAAAAATCTTCAAAACAAAACAAAACACCCAGTTTATGCTAGCTGAAGTTGTTTTGCGACCCCAGTTAATAAGTGGATTAAGCCCAGTGTTGGAGATATTCTTAAGAAGGGGATGCTTTTACTAGTCTAGTTCAGAAAGAAAGTAAAAACTTGAGAAGAGCCGCAATTGCCCAACACAAGGATTAGGACCTTTCCACCATGAATAGGGTAGTAGGATTTCCAATTATGTATTTAGGTAGGGACAAAAGGATAAATTCCTTCCTGTGAATTTTTAACGGCATATTTGCACCTATTCTGAATGTTATGTTTTTGAGTATTAAGGTTTGCATTTAAGGCCGCTATACTGCTGGGCAGCGTATGGACTCTAAAATGAAGTCCTGTGTGCAAGGAATGTTAGGACTGAGGTTGTATTTAATTTAGTATACAATGTGTTAAATTGTTACTGTTATTGTTTTAAAATTTGAGGAGTTAAATACAGTAATTATCTGTGTATTATTGACAAAAAGCAAGACCCATAGGTACACTTACAAAATATGGTATTCATCAGCTTCTGAACTTTGGAATTCACACCACCGATTCTGTACAACCCCAAGATTGTAATACCTTCAAAGAAAAAGGATAGACAATAACAAGGCTTTGCGCTGCATGCCACTTTATATTTCTCAGCTCAAGAATTTATTTGCCTTATTTGAAATATTTATATCAATTTCCCCTTCTGCAGCAACTTTCTCATTCATTGTTCAATATCTGCTTCTCTGACTTTTCTCTCTTTTTTCTGCTGCTTACTCAACAAGGTTGTGAGAGCATTCACACACATTTTGGAAGTAACCTACTAAACACTAAGGTTGGGTAGAAGGAGAAGTTCTTAATGCCATGCCAAATTTTTAGAACGCAATGGCATTGTTTTAATGACTTACGATAATTTGGTTATAATTAACTGCTATTGTTTTAACTCTGTATGTATTTATGGTTTTATACTGTGTTATTGATTGTGGCATTGATTTGCTGCCTTTGTTAGCTGCTCTGAGTTCCCCTTCGGGGGTTGAGAAGGGCGGGGTAAAAATGCTGTAAATAAATATATAAATAATAAATTTCTAGCTTCAAAATTGTTGCTTTGTCGTATTTCATTGAGTTTTGTTGTTACTGGTCATCAAATAAGTATGGTGACCCTGTGAACGAGAAACCTCCAAGAGATGTAGACATCAACTGCCCTGCTCACGTCTTTTTGATTCAGCACTATGGATTTCTTTTTATTATTATTATTATAAATTTTTATTACATTTTATAAACATAGAAAGAATTGTACAAGGAAAGAGGGAGAACATTGTGAAATAGGAAAGTAGGGGGGGAAAAGGGTTGAGAAGCACAAATACAACAATAAAAAAACAGAAAAAATACAAAGACAAAGACAACAAATAGAAATACAAAAAAAAATAACCCAGGAAAAAATGAACTTTGGTTAAAAGTGACTTCCATCTAGTCATTGGGGATCTTTACAAATCTTTCTGAAATTACTTCTATGTATTTTGCTTTTGGACAGGCCCACATACCGGGACATTCTGAGAAAAGAAGAAGGAAAATATAAACTCAAGGAAGAGAAGGAAATTAGAGAGATCTACCCCAACTTATCATGGTTAAATTATAGACAAATGGCAGACTGTTATAGAAAAGATAAAGACTCAGATTTCGTAGACCAAGATGGCTTTTGGGACACCATCATGAAGTCAAGTAACAAGCTAATCACAAAATTATATAAAAAATTATTAGAATGGGCAACTGAAACGGAACAAATAAAAGAAACAATGATAAAATGGGCTCAAAATATAGGTCACCAAATAGAACTAAATAAATTGGAGAAACTCTGGAACAAAAAAATGAAATATACTTATTCATACGAACTAAAAGAAAACCTATTCAAAATTATACATAGATGGTACCTAACACCCCAAATAATTTCAAAATGCTATAGAAATACATCGAATAAATGCTGGAAGTGCGACCAACATACTGGGACCTTTTTCCACATTTGGTGGACCTGTCCAAAAGCACTATGGATTTCTTGATCAACTCAACCCAGTTGCAGTGAGTTACTGTATAATTACAGTACTGTTTTTCAAATCTTGTCTTTGTATTGTTCTGACGTCCCCCTTTTGAGTACTGAACAGATCCTTCTCCTGAAGTAAATGGAGTTCTCACAACCTGTATTCCAACTAGATTTCTGGTATTCACGGGATTTAAAACCAGTCTTTTAAAATGGAGTATTTCAGAAGTACTAGTAATTACTGATTATTCCTATGCTCTTGTATCCTACTGGGTTATGCATGTTGATTTCAACAGGATTTAGGAAATTAGGAAAGTCCCATGTTAAATACAATGGAATTTCATTTCCAAACAAAGTTAAGAGAAATATGATAAATAGGTAGTATCAGTGCAACCCATGTTAGCACAATAGCAGTGTTCCGAGTAACCACGCATTCCTACATGGCATGATGGTTTAAATGAGTGATTTGGATCTCTAAATGTTGACTATGCTGTTTATGGCCCCTTCCACACAGCTGAATAAAATCTCATATTATCTGCTTTGAACTGGAATATATGGCAGTGTGGACTTAGATAACCCAGTTCAAAGCAGATATTGTGGGATTTTCTGCATTAATATACTGGATTATATGACTGTGTGGAAAGATCTCTCAATGACCATAGGAGGGGCACAAATGGTCTAAATAGCTCAAACATGCTCCACATTCCATGGGTCTGTGCATACTCTATCACATTTTGAAATTTTGGGCCACGTTATATCAATGTCTATCAGTATGTCTCTGCTAAGACATCTTGAAGCATGGGTACTGTAACCTCTGTACCATGTCCTGATATCTCCATAAAAATGTATTTTTCTAAAGCATCAAGCTTTCGTTTCAATACATACCTCTTGTTTCCACAGCATGAATGCATTTTCTTACAAAATTGAAGCCAGCTTCATTTAGGAACACTACCAAAAGAATTAAAAATAATATGCAGAAGTTGCAATATTAGTCAAAATTCAACGAGCAAACCAGAATGCCAAATTGCAACCTGAGTTATCTCAGTATCAACAACATTTGCATTGAAATCTATATAAATTAAATAAAGCAAATGTCTGAGAAGAAATAAGGCCCTCTGGCATGAAAGAAAAAGCAATGGTAAGCATCTTGTTCAGTATTTACTGTGTCATAAGTCACTCATACAGCATCATAAATTTATGAATTTACGTTTACTGTTATTCCACCACTTCGACGATTGGAGGTGTCCCCCTTTAAAGTTGTACAGCAGAAGAATTTATAAGATATTGGAGACCAGGGCACCGTGCAATGTGCTTAAGATTTCACAAATTTCAGTGCACATCATTTTTTTTCATTCATGCCCCCTGTCTGCATATTTTACAACTGATCTTGGAATCTAGATTATATAAACATACTGATAATGAAATGAAGAACAACAATGGCATAATTCAGTAAAATTACCATTGCCCACATTTTCTATTATATGCTAAGAATTACATTATCATGAGCTATTTGGAAAAGGTGACATGTCAGGCTAAATTGTACTTGACCTGCTTGTGTGTTTGGAGAAGGGCATAAACAAAATAGGTTACGAATCACCACTAAAAGTATATAGGCAGATAAGAAAACAATCTTCGTTATGGTTTTTAATTAGTGTCGTTATTTCAATAAGGCACTTTTTATGAATCGTTTAAAGCTATCTCCAGCAACAATTTTTCTAATTGGATATTTAAGAAAACCAAAATATAAACACAGTGTTCTTGACATGATTGCAATAATTGGTCATGAGGTAGGACCTTTTAGCACTTTAACCTTGCAAACTGATCTATAATTTTATACTGAGAAACAAGAACACATGAATAATAAAACCATGTTTCCTACTAACAAATGTCTGACACACCACCATGAACAATATGACTGTGAACATAATTTCCCTTAAAATGTATTCTGCATTATCAAAAACAATGAACATACATTTTGAGCCTGGCAGTTCTACAGTCACTGTTATTCAAAGGTTTTGATCAATGTTATTCAAACTTTGGTCTTCCAAATAATTTAGATTTTGGCTCCTAGAATTCTATTGACCATGCTTGATGGGACCTCTGGGATTTGAAGTCCCAAACACCTGGAGAACCAAATTTTGGGAACCACTGGTTAGATTTACATCGCTTTCTGAAGAATATAGTAAAATGTACACATTGATGCAGCATAAAAATGTAACTTATAACAAATTTGGAAAGCAGCAAATAGATGCATGTAGTATGGCGGGATGGGGACACAAAGTTTTACAGTAAGATATCCATAATTTGGAGAACAATTCTGAAAGCTGTAATCCAAAGAAAGGGACATTTTCAAATTCTGGACATGATTCTATAGAAAGAACATTGGGCAAAAATTCAGACTTAAAAACATCAAATAATCAGAAGTACACTTACTTTCTTCCTTCTTGCTTATAATAGCTGGCAAAGTATAAATCTAAAAAGAAAAAGTAGTGATTTGCATCATGCTCATATTTTATCACAGCTTATCACTGTTGCTTTTCCAAATTTTCAAGATGTTTGGGTGGAACAATCTGATTTTATTACCCATACGAGACTCTGGAGATGACACAAGTGTGGGTTGTACAGGAAGAAGCCATCCAATTGATATTTGTGTCATGTTTTCAAAAACCAATCCAATTTTATTTATTTATTTATTTATTGAATTTTTTTAAAAAAATCACCATAACTTGTAGATGGCTTTTTTGTTTAATAAAGCACTTCTTCCCACCCATTTTCTTGCAAGCCAGTGTCACAATATTATGAGAAAACCAAAGCATTTTTCTTGAATTTCAGTGTAATCTGATACATCTGTGATATTCTTCAAGTAGACAGAACAGCCTCAAATATGATTACTTTTTGGAAAAAGGCAATTTTAGCTAAGTTTACAACATTCTTCCATTCTCCATGTTATTTTTCTAAGAAACAAGTAACCTCAACTGAGGACACATTCAACCCGCATGCTCTCATACAAAATATCTGGAGATGCCATTTTTGTTGTTTCCAAGCTTTAAAAGGTGATAGTGAGATCCAGTGGTGGATAACATTTATCATTACTTTTTTTTGGGGAGTCATGATGCACTCCATAGTATGAACATTTCAAACGTTAAGTCAAGAACTATCCTATTTCCTGATTGGTCTGATTCCTCATTACCTTGTCTCTGTGTTTCTTTAATAATAGTATTGTTGTTATAACTGTTATTACTACTTCATTACAACTGTAACAACATGGTTTTACTTTTACTTTAGTGGTATTTCTCTTATGAATGTTTGCAAGCCATTGGAGAAAGGGTGAGGTGTAAGAACTGTGGATAAATATGAGAAGTATAATTTTTTTTGTACATCACAAGGGTAACTGAAAGGGACAAAGAGCTGCAGGCTTGCATAGTCAAAATGCTTTTCTAACTTGGGGATGGTGGGGTGCTGCAGATTATTCTCCTGACAGAAACACTTTATGCTATATCCAATGATGTTCTTTTGACTTGAGCAGGCACATGCTATTTGTGTATGAGATTTATTTTAATTGCTTTGTATTGTATTTGTTACTGCTTGTTTTGCTTATATTGTTGTATTGTGGGCTTGGCCTCATGTAAGCCGCACCGAGTCCCTTGGGGAAATGGCAGCGAGGTATAAATAAAGTATTATTATTATTATTAAGAAAAATCCCAGCCACAAGCCCTTGGATTGTGCCCCAAAATAGCCCTCCTTTTCCCAGTCCTTTATATGTATTTTGGCTCTCCGGGTTAAATTCAGTATTAGCCCTACCTACAATAGGCACATTAAACCTGTTGTGACTATTCCGTTTTTTTTTTCTCATTTCAACAGATTTACTGTAGATGCAACCAATGGATGATTTAGCCTATGGAAGGAGATTCTGCGAAACTACAGCGGATCATTCCCCAGTAACACCCATGCTTTGCTTCCTAGGTCTTCAGGGTGATACAGTCTAGCAACATCTGGAATGCACCACACTTCCTAACTTTGATTCACCCCTAACTCTTTTCATACACAAACACAGAGAAAATCAAATATTTATTGCTACACACAGATATAACAATATGCATTTGAATTTATTTTAAAGAATCACATTAAATGGAGCCACAGTCAGTGGTCCAAATTTACTGGGGGTAGGGGCAAAAGACCCTATGGAAAAATACATGTCAGGAGTGACTTGAGAAACTACAAGTAACTTCCGGTGTGAGAGAATTGGCCACCTGCAAGGATGTGGCCCAGGGGACATCCAGATGTTTTATGTTTTACCGTCCTTGTGAGACGTTTGTCTCATATCCCCGCATGGGGAGCTGGAACTGACAGAGGGAGTTCAATCCATTCTCCCCGGATTCGAACCACTGACCTACCAGCACAAGGGTTTAACCCATTGCACCACTGGGGAATCCTCCTATGGAAATGAAAAACTGCAAATAAAAATGCAGTTTTTTAAATTGACAGAACATCTGTCTGGAAATCTCGAAATCATCCAATGTGATCCTGTGGTCAATTTCCAACAGAGGTGACCACAGTCATACTTGAGGACCTACTGATTCCACGAGAGATGGTATTAATCAAATCTGCAAAAGTAAAACTTGTATATGTGAAGGGCCAATTGTAGTTTCAAAAGTGGAATCATACATATGTTCTTTGTTCTGAAAACAGAAATCGACAACAATACCATATGACATAATTTCCTTACTGGTTCTTTTCCATCCATAGCTTCCAGCCAGAGTTTTCTGTTGGATTCAGAAAAAGCCTGCAGTGTAATGATCCCATGTCTATTTCAAAAAGAAAACACACAGAGAAGAGCATGCTATTTATTCATTTTAAAAAATGTGAACACTTACCTTAATATGTCATTGCAAAATGGAGAAGAAGAAAAAAAGATATCATGTAGTAGAATTAAATTGAATGTTTATTTTTTCCCTATACCGGTTGTTTTCCCTCTTATTATGAGAGGCTCCCAAGTGGTTTTCTCCAAGACCAAAAGCAGAGTGAATCAAATACAATAGCAGAGAAAAATAAAGAACAACCCTCAAATTCCAATGGAGACATATGTTGCAGTGTCAAGAAGTTCTTCTCAAGAAAAACAAATTCAAAATAAATACAAAGATAATGACTTGGGTTAAGGCAAGTATAGTCACGAAAATATCCCCATTCATTTCAGCTCTCTCTTCAGACAGACAAAACATTTTACATCACTGGTGGAAAATGTATTTCTCAACTACCATGCTGGAATTTTTACCATCACATGAGAGAACAATAGGTTGCTTATAGAGACCTCCTCCCTTTAATTGACAGGTTAGGGACCAGGGATTGTCAAAACTGAAAATAGCTGAAAAGCAGAACACAGTCTTTTCTGAACTAGCAAATGAAAGACTGGATAGTTGGGGGTCAACTGAGACACAAAAAATACACTTAGAAAGAGAGAGGGGAAACCAACATGCTGAGTTGACTGAGAGAAAAACTCAGTGCGTGGTCAAAAGAGAAGACCAGAAGTTGAAAGTGTGGTTATATGGCTATATAAATGAATGAATGAATCATCTAAAGGGAAGTATCTGGACGTCCAGCTCCAGCTCAATTCCCCCTCTCCATATTTAGCCTCCTCCCCCTGATCCCGGTAAAGACAAAATCATGAGTCATTGTAGTCCACAGATGAAAAACTGCATTTGGCAATTACTGGAGGGGCAGGAGTGTACGGGGGTGATTCTAAGATGTTTGTTGTTGTTGTTGTTGTTGTTATTTTGTCCTTTCAAATGGTTTCTGACTTATAGAGATTTCTTAACAAGATTTGTTTTTTGTATTGCTCTGATAGCTGAGAGGTCACCCAGTGGTTTTGAATGGTTGAGCAAATATTTGAACCCTGCTCTCCAGCGTTCTAAATCAAGGCTCAAACCACTACACCAGATTGATGTTAGTGGATTCAAAACTAGCACTGGAAAACTATGATCTACACTCACCCAATTCTGCTTACAAAGTTACCAAACCATAAACTGCAGACCACCTATTACAATGCAGCCTGAGCCCTGCCACACGCACAATGGAGGACCTTCCTATAGCAACACCAGAGGCACTCCAAGTGGGCAGCTTCTGGCCAAAGGACATTTAATATAATGTCAAGGTTTTTTTTACAAATGTATCCTTGGTTGGCTCCTGATATGATAAATAAATATGATGTTACCAGAACTTGCAACATTTAAGAAGTACAATTCCCAGTACCCTCCAGCCAGTGACTTCAAAAGTTTCAAACCTTTCAACAACTTCAATATCAAAACAGAAACGCTTGTCAATTGAATCTGTCTTTCTCCGGATGCAGGACTTCAACTTGAATATTTCTGGTGAACTTGGGACAAGACCATTCTAAAAGAAGCATAAGGAGAGAATGTGACATGATCAGTCACCAAAACATTTAAATACATTTCCTTTCATTAATCATATAAATTCTAGTCACATAATAGTCCAATATTTCTAAAATACTAAGTATATTTTCTCCTTCTCCTTTAGATGATACATATTTATGTTCTTGCAGACATTTCCATAGGAAAGGCGTTTGTGAAAGAAAAGGAGGAATTTATTTATTTATTTATTTCCAGTACTTTTACCCCACCCTTCTCAACCCCCGAGGGGGGACTCAGGGCGGCTTACACAACAAGGCACCGTTTGATGCCTATAAAATTACAATTCCACATAATAGACAGTCATAGTTAAGACAATTAAAAACAATTATCACAATTAGAACAAACGAGGTAATCAATAAACACATCATATAGAAACTATTCGCGTGCTCAGCATTCGTATTTCCGGGTTCCAGATTCCGTTCCATTAGACATTTCCTAAATGAATGCTGCTTTTTAGATAGTGTTTGCCATTTGACATTTTTAGAATTGTCTTTCTGTCTTTCTGGCAATTGGTCTACCTCATGGTTGGATGGCACCATTTAAAAATGAACAAAGCGCACAAAAAATAACAAGCATGAGTTTTTGGCTTTCCCTTTACTGACAAAAACAGACTACACAACCTTACTGTCAGTCCTGTTGATTTAACTGGGTTGAAATATTGATATAGTTTAAACTCTGCTTGGTTCGGTGTAAAATTGTAATGCTGTGAAAGTGTTAAGTGCACAAAGCTTTTGATTTATGCCTAGAGCATAGCTTTGGATGGTTCCTGTTACGTTACACATTCCAGAGTAGAGATAACAACTCTGGAGTCTTCCAGCGATGTCTGTTGTACAGTGAATACGTGTCTGTAACTATTACTGTAACATAGGTTTTGTTTTCCTGTTATTTTTCTAGAAAGTAGCAATAACATGTGACTCCGAGGATTTGGAGTTGAATGAAGGCTGCACGCTTCTTCTGTTTTTGTGCTTCTTAGCAGTCACTGTGAGGCAAAATAAACTGACACTTACTAGGTCTGAAAATACCTAACTCCTTTCCAGCATGTCACCCACCTTTCATCACAGGATGAAAGGTCAGTATGTTCCCCTTCCAAATCTATTTGGGGTAATACTTACCACTTTCCCCCCAGACTTTGGTTCAGAAAGACTCATTGTAAATGCTTTTGATCCCTTGTCATAAGTACAGTAATGTTTAATCCAAGTAAATCCTAGCGGTCCTAAAAAGTAAAAAAATAATAAAAATAAACAATAAATTTGTCTATTAGAACAAAAGCAGAACAAAATAATCATGATAAAATATGGAGGTTATTAGTTTTGTCTTAGAAAATGCCTGCAAATGTAAGTTATTTATGCTCCACATTATATATTTCACTGCTTCATGTGTGTTGATACTATATTGACGTCAAAAATTATCTTTTTACAGAACAGATTTCAAATGCCAGGAATTTTATTTCTAATTAGTCCTTTTAAAATGTTACCACATAGTATTAATAATAGTGCTTAAAACTATTAATTATTACGTCTAACAGCCAGTTGGCTGTTCAAAATAATTTATACAATCTTCCAAGTCCCATAATAATCATTTAAACTAGTGTACATCACTATATCCATCTGTATTGTTAAAACTATAGAGTAAGGCTGGGGTTAGGGGTATAAGACCCCCACAAAACCCCCAGAGATTGGACACCATTGGCCTAAGGAAGTGTTGTCTCTACAAAACTCTAGGTCCTCAGGACACAGTTCTAACTCTGTTGGACACTAACTATAGAATTACATAGGAGGATATAGAGAAAATACATTAAGCAAATCTATACATGATTCAGTCTGTAAAGGTAAACTTTCAAATGTGGAGGGCCAACTGTATTCTGGATTCAGCAACACCTCTAGAGGGGAACATTCACTCAAAAATGGAGAATAAAATATTAAAGAGTGGATATTTCATCCCCTATTTCTTATCATCATTTGCCATGCAAACTGAAGCAGATAAGTGAAGTGACAGTATCTACATTCAAAGTAATTGGAGAGACTGAGTACAAAGATGTATTTTATGCCGACAATTCTCAGTAACAAGATGTGGCAAGTGGACCCAGTTCTCCGCATTTGGAATAGTAAGTGTCCCCATTATTTCGCTTTGCAATGACAAAATGAGAATACATTTTTCTGACTATATTCCTGACAATCAGCAGCCTAACCTACTACATTACTGAAAAAGATGCCTTCCTTTCCAAGACTGCAATTGTCTCTGTCATTTTCTCTCTTAGCTGAAACAAATGATCAAATCATTTCCTCTTTGACAAGAGTATGTCAAATTGGCCTTTCACTATTTAATGAAACACCAAATGTGCCCAGAATTTCACTTTGTCTTTGCTTTCCTGTTAATAATACCCAAGGTAATTTCCACTCAACAAGGGTATTTTTTAATAGTATATTATTATAATCAGTCAATTAAATACTATAAAAGTGACTCAGAGCAACCTCCCACTTTTTTTCAGCAGGAAATATATATCTCAGAAAAGTACAGGGAGAAGAAGGGAAGGGTTGACTCTTCTTTGACACATAGGCTTAACAAGAGCAAGTAGGAAAACACAAGTGAGAAATCAATATCATTGAAACTTTATCATTGCACTCCTTATTTTTGAATGTCAACTTATCAGCTACAGGGTGAACAGCTTGGAATCAGTGAATGTATTAAAGTTGTTATACCAGCATTACAATAAACTGAAAACAAAAGTGGGATTCAAGAGATAAAATGTCCAAATCCATGAATGATATATTCCAGGACCTTGTGAGGATGTGCAAAAACCATACTGAATGAACAACTTCTGTAGGAAACATATCACAGAGCTGCTTTGCAGGGGAAAAAATAAAAAGAAATAAATTAAAAATAAACAGATTCATGCAGGAGAATGTAGGAAATGCCTAGAGATGAAAAATTGCTAGCACAGCTAGGTCCTCCAGCATGACTCTATGGTCAACCTCTGGGAGAAGCACATTATAGAACTGCCTTGAGGACCAAGGAAATGCTAAGAGAGGAATAGCATATTTCACTGTGTCACAGTTGTACCTTTATCCCTTTTTTGGCTGAAAAAAAAGGGGGGAGTGCGACTATTATGCTGTGAAAAAAAATCCAGCTATGGAGCTTCATTCAGCCATCAGCCAAGTGAAGCCCCATAGCTGGACTGGATGAGGGCAAACAAACTGAAACTTAATCCAGACAAGACAGAAATACTCCTAGTCAGTTGAAAGGCAGATAAGGAAATAAAGATATAGCATGTGCTGGATGGAGTTACACTCCCCCTGCAGACACAGGTTCATAATTTGGGGGTCATCCTGAACTCAACACTGAACCTGGAGGCCAAGGCATCACTGATGGCTAGGAGGGCCTTTGCACAATTAAAACTTGTGCGCCAACTGCACCTATTCCTTGAGAAACCAGATCTGGCTATAGTAGTATGTGCCTTAGTTACATCCAATATTGATCACTGCAACAATCTCCTCATGGGGTTGTCTTTGAAGAGTGTTCAGAAACTTTGGCTGGTTCAAAGTGCTGATTATGATTTTTAAAGTCCTATACAGCTTAGGTCAATGCTATTTGGCTGACAGCATCTCCTTGGATAAGCCTGCCCAAGCCCTGAGGTTTTCAGGAGAGAAAAGAGAGTGGTCCTTTTCAATGGCTGCTCCTCAACTCTGGAACTCCCTCCCCAGGGAAACCAGAATGACCTGTTGTCCTTAGCTGCCAGGCTAAGGCTTTTTTTTTTCCAGGCAGGATTTTAAAGAGGAATGTTTTAAGGGTTGCTGTGGTTTTAGCTTTGAATATATTTTTAACATGCTTATGGATTTAAACTGTGAATATTTTAATACCATTGATACTTAATTGTATTTGAATGTTTGTATATTTGTGGATTTTAAATTGTATTGAGATGCTTTTAATGTAAGCAGCTTTGAGTCTCCTTTGTGGAGAGAAAAATTAGGGTATAAATAAACGTAACAATAATTATAAACATAAATATAAACATAATAAACATAATAATAATTCCAAGAAAAGGGGTCCAAGGAAAGCCCCACAGCTCCAAGAAAATGGGGCTGGTAATCAAGTGAAGCCCCTTAGGCGCATGGGGAAGTTGCATCTTTCTTTCAGTTACCTGAGCAGGTGTGCAGGTGGATGAATGAAGGGTGCAACTATTATGCGAGGAATTCTAAAATATCAATTTTGTCACCCCAAAAATGGGAGTGCAGCTATTACACAGTGGTGACTATTACGTGAGGAAATGTGAGATATTTTGTCAGATTTGGGTAAATGAAAGCAAAAGTACTTGTTCCTCAGACAAGAGGGTTGTATTATATTAGCAAAGCCCCAAGGGTAACATTTTAATCATATTTTACCTGCCATAATCATATTTTACCTGCCATGTCCAGCATATTTTAAAATTTTAATTATTAGATTTGGCCCAGCCACAAGTTTTTAAATGTCGTCATGCTATTGCTAATGTTCATTGTTTATTTGCTGTTATGAGTTTTATTTACTGCTTGTATTATTGTTGTTTTTGCTTGTTATTGCTGTGTTGTGGGCTTGGCCTCATGTAAGCCGCACCGAGTCCCTTGGGGAGATGGTAGTGGGGTACAAATAAAGTGTTGTTGTTATTATTATTATTATTATTATTATTATTATTATTATTATTATTATTAAAGCTCTTGTCACACAACATTCTGACAATAATGCACTGGAAAATTTCCTGTTCACATCATACAAAATGATGCTAGATGACCACATGTGAGGCATGTCCCAGCTGCTGATATCTTCTACCAGGATGGGGTTGGACAAAGTACTATTGGGATATTTTTCAACTTTACAATTCTATAATTCTATGATGATATCTCACTAACTGTTTTAGATCTAATTAAAAAACTATTATCACGGAGGACAAATCTGACACTAACATATACTGGCAGAGTTCCCCTGATGACTATGAAAAAGAAGTCAGCCCTAAAATACTGCAACACTTCTCATATTTAGAGTGATGGTCTGAAGAAGAAACTCTCCTCCCTGTATCTAGACATTCAAAATTATTCTGAATCCTGATTTCCCTGTGTTTTCCACACATGGAAGAGGTCCTTCCTTTCAGACTGTGAGGCTATATCTTGGACTTATGAGAATGCTATATTGTTTCTACCAATCCAACTTTATACAAAAATTGATAGCAATAAAATGAAGGATTAGGGCATGAACTTACAGAATGTATGAGGCTGTGCCACATTCTTGAGTGGGTAACTCAATGCAGAGTAACATACTACTCACGTTTCTCTTGAACGTAGAGGTAGCCTTCCATCGTCCACTGGCTTGGGGGTCTATAATCTTGACTAGCCGATTTCATTCTCTGCATGAGTCGCTCTACTTCTTGCCTCGTGCTTTCAAAATTATTCCGTGTCTACGCAGTAAGATGCAGAAAAAGAAAAGAAAATATGATGAATTAGGATTCTATCCATGCTGTCTGAAGTGAGTGACTTAAATGTCTTTGGCAAGGAACACTTATTAGCTCTAAGGAAATTGATGTAAAATGCGTACTTCAGACCAGAAAGATTTGGAAGTACAGATGCCATAGAGACTTTCTATATTTATTTATCTACAGCACTTCTACCTCGCCCTTCTCAGCCTGAAGGTGACTCAGGGCGGCGTACAGACTGGCAACAATTAGGTGCCATGATCTATACACTGACTGAGTTTTTGTATGTTAGGAAGACATAAGCTTTCCGAATTTTCCCATTGCTGCCATATGTGTGTAATAAGATTCTTAAGAAGAAATTCTTATTGGCTTTCACTGCCCATTCCCAACTACTTGCTCCCTGTTGCAAAACCCACAGGCAAACCATGTGTTTGAAAACCAACCATAAACATAGCATATCATGGTATCACTTTTTGATATCTATAGAGTCTGCAATATAGTAATTATTTTCAAATTTCCATGTGAAGCAGGAATTGATAATAAAATAAGCAGAGTAGTTAATGGCACCACAAGTCCTCAAAACTGCGAAACATCATTAGTGGCTATGAGAAAAACCAAAAAGTGGCTAATACCTTATTTACTTCTTGAGTACATTAAATGAAAATCATATTTTGCTACAAAACAAGTATGTCCTTAAAGCATTGTCACATCCATGTCAAGTGGCCTTTTTGTGTGTATATTACTTTTAGAGAGAAATGAAACAAGAAGCGAAGAAGTCCAGATGTTCAACAGAAGCTGGGTTCTGTAAGATTTCTGTTTTTCTCTCAGCACTGTTCTCCAAGTTTTATGCATCTTCAAAGTCGAAAAATCAAAGGAGACTCAGACTTGAAGAGGCAATGAAGAGTTATCAGAACTTCAATTTATTCAACTAACATGACATCCATTATTCATTCTGAAGTGAAGTGTCTAGAGACTAAAGGAGGGGGAGCCCTTGGATCCATCTTTTGTGCCAAAAGAAATGAGTTATATGAGCTAAAAGTTAACTTTGCTTCTATTAAGGATGAATCTACACGGTAGGATTAATGCAGGTTGACACAACTTTAACTGTTATTCCTCAATGCTATGGGATCCTGGGAGGTGTTCGTGTGATAAGGCGCCAGAACTATTTGGCAGAAAAGGCTAAAGACCTTGTAAAACTACAACCCCCATGATATGTTAGCATTTAGCTCTAACAATTAAAGTATAGTGTCAAACCAATAATTCTACAATGTGTATGTTCCCTTAGTTTACCTAATAGCTGCTAGTATTTTTCCGTCCCATTGTTCCAGCACACATAGCCTATACCCACAGGTATAGAATGGCTCAAAGCCCAAAACATTCAAACAGTAGTGGATGGGGAAAGCTTACTTAAAAACTATGAAATTACATGCGGCACATACTCATTATGTTTCCATAATCACAGAAAGCAATGGGAATGTGTTTATACAGCACTGACTCATACTTTCATATATAACCCATCTATCTTGTAACTGTCAAAAAAGCATAATGTGGAAGTTTTCCAGATTTTTTTATCGTGTCAGAAGCGACTTGAGAAACTGCAAGTCACTTCTGGTGTGACACAATTGGCTGTCTGCAGGAATGTTGCCCAGGGGATGTATTACCATCCTGAGAGGCTTCTCTCGTGTCCTTGCATGGGAAGCTGGAGCTGACAGATGGGAACTCACCCTGTCTCACAGATTTGAACTGTTGACCTTCAGGTCAGCAGTTCTGCTTGCACAAGAGTTTAACCCATTGTGCCACTGTGGCTCCTTTTTCAGAACTGTGAGACTATAAAAGGTGAATACAATTGGCATTCTTATGCATTAATATTTCATCACAGGTCTCAGTGAATACTGGTAGATTTGGTGAAATTACAAGAGACAACCCGACAAAAGAGGGCTACAATATTATAAGAGGTAAAGATATCAAGAGCACCTAATGCTTGAAGTATGTCAGCAATTTTTGAAGAAACATCTGATGAATTCGTCAAAAGCATGGAAGATTATGCTTCCAGGAATTTTTTGTAACAAATGCTAGAACCAAACATTAGATTGAAATTTCAAAATTTTGACAGTTTTAATGAGGCCAAAGTTGCCAATGAATTGCTGTATAGTACAAGATGGAGTTGTGATATAGATTGATAGGTGCATGGTAATGGCCAAGAGAGCCAGAGATGTGGCTCGGGTAAAATATATTCATTTATTGCCAAGTTTCTGAACAATAAATATTATCCTGAATTGCTAGAGCACCAAACTACAAAATATAAATCAAGAATGTGATTGTATGGTGAAGCAACAGTGACCTCTGGTGCTTTTAGAACCAACAGTTTAGTTATAATTGCTAGTTCATTCTTGGATAGCTTTTTTTTTTCAGTCTTCCCATCAACGTCACTTTTTACATTTTGTCTGATAAGATGATGCCAAAAGGTCAGATTTTTATTTGTGAAACTTCCAAATACTTATTTTCAAGTTAGCATTGCTCTCCTGATATCTTTGAAGAGAGAGTCATATTTTCAGGCTCGTTTAATCACCTAAAGCACAGAACTTTCTCCATGGTATTGTGGAAAGCTAACTCTAACCCTCACAACCTCTAAGGCTGCTTGCCACGGATGTAGGTGTAATGTCAGAAGAGAATGCTTCTAGAATATTTCTCACTATGCTTCATACTTTTATTAAAAATCATTTGAACAAAAAAAGGGGGAGGATATAACTATCTTATGCCAAATGCACTGTTTTCTCTACAGAAATGTTTTCTCTATTTAAAAAGGATTTTGCAAAAAAATAAATAAATCACACAGAAAAACATTTCAGAGTGAGAAATCTCACCACTTTTTGATGTCTCAAGCCTCTCCTCCTCAAAGTTTAGTCTAGCAAATGGATTAAAACAACTACAGCTGGCCCTCCACATTTGAAGGTTCACCTATTGCAGATTTGATTATTCACTGATGGATTGATATGGTCTGTCTAGGAACTCCTGGTACTCCAGCATAATTATGGTTACCATCTGCCAGAGGGTGACCTTAGAGTTGCACTGGAAAACTAAGGATTCCTAGTGGAACCATATTATACCCTTCCACCAGTAGTTAAACACAATGGAGGGCAGAGATTCCTAGGGAAGTGTTCTCTCAGGTCAAACCTCCTTCTTCTTATTCAACTATAGCCCCTCAGATTATTTTGGAACTGCATCTCTCATAATTCTCTCAATTGCTCATCTTATCTAGGGTTGATGGAAACTATAGCCCCACAAAACCTGAGCAATTAGTTGCCCATCTCTCGTCTAGTAGGAGAAGACAAGTAAACAAATACAGGCAGCCCCTAATTTACAAATATCTGTCTTACAAATGACTCATAGTTAAGAATGGGAGTGAGACAACAGAAAGTGAGAAAACTACCTCTCAGAAGGGAAATTCACTCCTGAAAGAGTTATCATAGGGGAAAAGTGTATCCACTGAAGCTTTATCACCAATTCTTGTTTGCACAACAAGCCATTTTTTTTATCACAGGTACAGAAAGTGAGGTGAAATCTTCTGAACAGGTGCAGAGACAGTAAAACAAACACCACAGGAGTGTTAGCCTGTCCCTATGTTATTCAAAGCTTACATCTATCTATCTATCTATCTATCTATCTATCTATCTATCTATCTATCTATCTATCTATCTATCATCTATCTATCTATCTATCTATATCATCTCTGGTGTTATACTTAAAAAAATTACTTGTTCCAGCTTACAAACAAAAACAACTCAACTTGGGGACTGCTGTAACAGAAATGGTGTCATGGATGTGCAAACATTCTAGTGGTAGAACTCACTAATGGTAATGCAAAATTATGTCTAATTTTGTAGCATATAACTAACTGTAGCATATAATCTGTAGCATATAATCTAAAACTGTAGCATATAATCTAAATTAGTTTATTTTTCACTTTATAGTTTTAGCACATAAGCAAAAATGTAATCTGTAATTCTGTGGAAGATAAGTGAATGACCCCAAACGACAACATGGTATGGAGAATAAACTTCAGCTCCCTGAAAATTTCAGTGTTCACTCTACCTATTTTCCAAACCAGAATTGGGCTCCTGGGCATTTCAATTTTTCCCCTCTGCCATTCAGTCTTGATTTTTTTTTTAACCATGTAGTCCCTGGACGGTGATCAATCCCACCAAATTAGTCCCACACTAACACCAGTGTTTGGCCAATGTCTACTGTTTAAGGAAACCTCAAAAGCAACTAAATAGTTTTCCCCTCTCTCTAATGGTTGGAGTGAGACCTCAGAGATGGCATAATTTATCATGCTTCCCTATGTATAACACAAATATAAGTTAACGATAAATACTGCATAATAAGGATAAGTGTACACATTTGTTCAATCTGCATGGCAAATAAAGATGTAAAATCTGGCTTGGCTTGGCTCTGAAAGTGGATTGCTGAAGCATAAAATTTTATTTTCTGAGTGGAGTCCATGCAATCTTGCCTACAGGCAGATCACTAGTGTGAAGGCATTCATAAAATTCTACATCCAGGGTGAGCTGTATACAATGTTTTTGCTTAAATCCATTTAAATTACTAGACATTCTGAATGGGATTATTTTTCCAAACTGGGGGCAGAACAAATTTTACTAATTTAAATCTTGGAGATGTTAAATCAATAACTGGATTTCCCAAGGCAAAGGGATGAAACTAGACATGACTTAAGTAATATGTGAAGTTTACTACATTTATGCATGAAGTTCCTTGATTTGCATTCTAAAGATTTTAGCATCACAACAAAGTATGGACAGCACTGCCTTTGTTACAGCTGAAGTTTAATTATCTAAAAAAGTAAGAATAAATGTAGCAGAGCCTTACATTCTGTAAATTGAATTGCAGCTGCTGCTTGTATGGTGCAAACTCCTGGGCCAATTCATATCCTTCATGATAAAACGTAAATAAGCCCTGAAGAAATGCCAAAAGCTGAAAAGAGAAAAAATACAACTGAAAACCAAGCATTAAACATTGCATCACACATATTAGAGAGCATTAGCAGAACAGAATTGACACCTATTAAAATAACAAAAGGGGTAAGAAAACATATACAGGTTGAATATCTTTTTTGCACAATGCTTGGAACCAGAAGTGTTTTAGAGTTCATATTTTTTCCCCAAATATTGAAATGTTTTCATGAAATATCTTGGAGTTTCGACCAAAGTCTAAACACAAAATTCATTTATGTTTCATATGCACATAAACTTATACCCATAATCAAGGGCACATGTGTTAACCTCAAGGCCCACAGGTCAAATTGGTCATCCAGATGCTGGACTAAAACTCCTGTATTCCTCATCATTAGCCATCACAATTAGAGCTGATGGGAGTTAAGATACAGCAAAATCTGTAAGGCTATTATAGTCTGTTACCTTTAGTCAGTATAGTGGGGTTTGAATTAAGACACTAAGCATGTGGATATGATGTTTGATGGTAAAATGTCTTTTAAGTTTTCCTCAACCTTGGAACCACAAGTGCTGTTGGGCAGCATCATCATTCAATAACATCGGGGGACCCAAATTTGGTAAAAATGAAAGACCACCAACCGCTATGTAAAAAAAAATTATAGTTGGCCTTCTTGGATCCACAGATTCTCTGTCCATGGATTCAAATGCCCTTTGAAACAACCATAAAACTGATGTGCGTCTTGATGAAAATGAGCTTGACATCCTTGGCCTTAAAATAATTCTGTACACAATATTTTAAATTTATTTGGTGAATGAAATAAAATTTGTGTAGATCAGTGGTTCTCAACCTGTGAGCCCCCAGATGTTTTGGTCTTCAACTCCCAGAAATCCTAGCAGATGGTAAACTGGCTGGGATTTCTGGGAGTTGTAGGCCAAAACACCGGGGCACCCACAGGCTGAGAACCACTGGTGTAGACTGAACTGAGAAAATGTCACAATCACATTTCAGAATTTTGGATAAGGTATGCTTAACTTGTAATGTCAAAAAGGAGAACATATATTATGGTGGCCTGATGTAGTTCTACTGGGCAGGAAATGGTGGTCTGTAGTATTGGTGAAGTCCCTTGAAGTCTGATAGTTTGTGATGTCTCAGAGCAAGAAGGTATATCTAAGTTGATCTTCCAATCACTGGCAGGTGCTTGCAGGGTGCCTGTGGCCCTCCAGCTGTATTGGGCTCTAACTCCTAGAAGTACTAGCCAGCTTGCCCAATGACCAGGAATTCTGGGAGTTGGAGGCCTAAAAGGTTGGAGAGCCACAGGTTGTTTAGGCCTGTTCTAGTGTATCACAGCATGAGACAGTAGGAATACCAAGAACACATGAAAGAAACCAAGGCAGGAGCTAAGACAGCAACAAATCATCAAAAGGAGTTGAAGAACGGATGAACTAGAAACATGAGGGGAAAGCTTCCTTCCCAGCTTGGATCAGTCACAAGACTGAGAAAACTAGAACCAAAAGGTTGAAAGTGTTGATTTGGTAAAAAGAGAATGAGTTGCTAAATACTGGAACCTCTGTTTGAAAAGGAGTAACTTGTTCCCTAGCTCTAAAAGCAGGCAATCTACTCAAACATTACAAATGATTTTACTAATATAAACAGCCATACAGATATAGCTTTCAAACTCTAGACTCAAAATTTGGGTCAAAAAAAGAATGTCCAAAGCCAGCCTTTACTTGCCAAAAGAAGTTACTCTCTCAAATACTTACTTATGTGCTGTTTTACACATATTTACCTTTCTATGTCTCTCTGTCTGGAAGGGGAACTTTTAATCAAATCTGGTAATAATAGTTCATAGATATAGCAAAACATCAGGAGTGGAGTGAAAAGGCCAGCAATAAGGGATTTATTTCTCAACTTGTTGATATGGTTAATTTTAGTTACAACCTGTGTACAATGTCATACAATGCAAGTTTTAGTCTTCTTTCATTACACATAATATAACCCAGTTCATTATTAACATACTACTAAAATGTCCTATTTGTGCAGCCAGGCTTCAGAAAGTTGAAGAGTGTTTTTTTTTTTTTTGAAGACTTATTCAGAACGATTAATCTAATTCTGAACTGAACAAAAACAGTATCTAGCACTAGATGGCAGCAATGTCAAACTCATTGTGAATCATTCAGTCCTTCAATATCAAAGTGTATTCTTTTATTCAGTATTGTATCTAGTAACAGAGTATCAAGAATAAAAGATACACTGTGCATTTAGAGTGTATCCTTTGATCCAACCATAACATTTGAACCAGCTTGATTTAAGGATTTCAAAAACGTGTTGTGGATAAGTGACATTACTTTGAGTTTTCCCAGTGAATCTGCTAGGAGTCACAAATGAAGATCAAGGGAGACTGAGCATGGTATGAAGTTCTAGATCATGGGTAGGGAAATTTTGTTCCTTATATTTTAAAACTTTAGCATCCAGAAGTGCCAGCTTGCATTGCCAATGATAAGGAATTATGGCAACTGTAGTCCAAACCACGTGGACATACATTGGTTCCTTACCCCCGTTCTATACCAGAATGGGCAGAATGCATCCCATGCGCCTTTTGTGTGATTTGCAACTCTCTGATTTCCCTGCCTCCACAGATTTTTCTCTGTGTGTGAAAGCCTCCTGGGATGGTATGTTTGGGATTGCTGAAGCCCAGAAAAGTTCACCCCAACTCATAATAAAACACAGACATGACCACAGTCACTTTCTGGTCAACGACTTCCACCAGAATTGCTCAATCCTAAATATGTCTCAAGAAATGGGCCAAGTGAAGCCAAACCATTCTTCGATTAGACAACACATACAGGTAACTTTTTTCCTTTTTTTTTTTTAAAGGCACAGCTATTTCAAAAGGGAATATTGGAACTATAGAAGTAGCAGACATGGGATTGGTGAATCCTGTCCCCTATCCAGATTAAATTCCCAAGGATAAGGAGAAAAGTGAATGTTAATGATAATTTGGAGAGCAGAGACAATCACAATTGGTTCCCAGCAGTAGTTTCTCATACTAAAAATTGTAGTTAAGGCAATGTTACGAACATTTGCATAGAATGTCAAGTGCAGCCTTGAGAGAGGCTTTTCTCAGTTGATATGTTTTAAATGTAACTGTTTTAAACCTATGTTTTACTCATCTGCTCTGGATTTAGCGATTAACAAATTGGTTCCCTTCAAAAATCAAAGCAGGTCAAAAGATGTCGCTTTGGATTTTGAATAACTGCAACTGAGCATTATCTCTGAATTCAGACAAACTGCAGATAGTCATAATCCCATTTTATGGGGGTGGGGGGAGACTAGCTTCAAGCCTTAGCTAAAGGTAAAGGCTTCCCCTTGACATTACATCTAGTTGAGTCCGACACTGGGGGATAGTGCTCATCTCCATTTCTTAAGTCAAAGAGCTGGCGTTGCCCGTAGATGCCTCCTAGGTCATGTGGCTGGCATGACTGAATGGAGCGCCGTTATCTTCCCATCAAAGCGGTACCAATTGATCTACTCACATTTGCATGATTTAGAACTGCTAGGTTGGCAAAAGCTGGAGATAATGACAGGAGCTCACCCTGTTCATGGATTCTAACCGTCAACCTTTCGATCAGCAAGGTCTGCAGCTTAGCAGTTTAACCCACTGCACCACTGCAGCCCCTACTTCCAAACCGTCTCCCAAAGAAGTTACTATACTGGCTATCAGTATTTAAAAACTCTAAAACTATAACAGTAAATAAAGAACAACTCTCAAACACAGGGGAACTCCAGACAAGAAACAATCAGGAACACCTAATGACCTCTCAACAAAGGATTCTCCCGGGCAGTAACAAGCCACACCTAAAAACTGTCAGGCCATCAAATGCTAATCAAGGTGGCCAATTGAAACCTTCAAACCTAGCTCCCACAGACAAACGTTCTTTCTCCTACCCTGGACTTTCTATAGATATATAAACCCAATTTTCCTAGTTTCCAATAGACCTCACAACCTCTGAGGATGCCTGCCACAAATGGAGGTGAAACATCAGGAGAGAATATGGCCATACAGCCCGAAAAACCTACAACAACCCAGTTACCATACTCCAAACTCAAAAATAGAAAACTGAATGTTGGTGGACAGGAAAAGAGATTTAAAAATGGGCTTAAAGCTAACCTTAAAAACTGTGGCATAGACACTGAGAACTGGGAAGCCCTGGCCCTTGAATGCTCTAGCTGGAGGTCAGCTGTGATCAGCAGTGCTGTGGAATTTGAAGAGGGCAAAAGGGAGAAATGTGCAAAGAGAAAGGAGCGTCAAGCCAACCCTTTCACCTAGAAACCAATGTCCTCACTGTGGAAGAACATGTGGGTCAAGAATAGGGCTCCATAGTCACCTACATATGCACTTTCAAGATACTACACTTGGAAGGACATCATATTCGGACAATGAGGGATTGCCTAAGTAAGTAAGTAAGTAAGTAAAAGTAAAGTAAATGTGAAACTGCAAGAAAGGAAATGTGAGGCTGATTTCCCTCATAACTGCGAGGGCTTTTTGTGTAGGGAAACACTATAACAAGAAACCATAGTTTATGATTATGTGCATTTTAAACACAGCACTTTGCGCTGACAGCACATTTAGGGCTGCTACTCTTTGTGGTAAATCTTCTGTGCTTTTCACAGGTGTATGGCAGCCAAAGATTCACTTGATGATTATCTATCCATAATTGTTTCCCAGTTCCAGGATAAGCTGCGTCTCTAAAATTTAACTATTATGCAGTTGTTTAAAGTATGAACACCCTACAGAAAACACTTATTGAAATCCCAGGGCAGTTACAACAATAGCAAAATGTTGCCCTACTTCATTTCTGTGAAAGCCAGTTTTCCATTTCCTCTTATATTATAAAATCCAGTTTATGACTGTAGATCCAAGTATGTTTTGTGCAATCTCTCGTTTCATTTTCCTTTAAAAACTGAACCAGGAAGACAGTAACGTCTTGGCTGATGAACTAAAGGCCAGAGGTCAAATTCCT